CGTTCTCCAACATGTTTTACGCCATGTGCGCCGAGAAGGAGAAGGTGCAGACCGCGATGAAGCTTGTGTGCATCGGTGTCGAAGAGACGGTCGTCGGCGTTCACGTCGCGGGCCTCGGCGCCGACGAGATGATCCAGGGCTTTGGCGTTGCGGTCAAGATGGGTGCGTACAAGTCGGACTTTGACAATATCGTGGCGATCCACCCGACGGCGTCGGAGGAGCTCGTGACGATGCCTGAGTGGGGCAAGATCAAGGACATTGTGACGCTCACGCATGGCACGGCGCGCAAGCCCCCGACGCTGATCAAGCCGCCGGCCAGCAACTAATCTTCACATACCGTCATGCAACGCTGACTTCTTGTTGTCTTGCTTCTTCCTGTTGCCGCCGTGGATTGTCGACTAAGCTTTGTTGAAGCAAACTAAGAATTTAAAAACGCAATCATGCAACACGACAACACCGTGTGAAGCCGTTCTCGGGTGTTGTGGTATGTAAAGTGGTTTTACCCATGCGTGGAAAGGTTGTCCTTGCTGTGATTATAAGACGAGGCTGGTTTGCCAGCATATGGAGCTCTGTGGACAGCATGGTGTAGATGTTTTCCACCCGAATTCATGGAGAAAAATCGCGAAAATTACACTTTGGCCCGGTCGAAATACTGTGCCCACTATAAAGCCAATGGATAGTGCTAGTACACAAAAGAACACTGGTCCAATGCACTACATTTGTCTGCCCACGCGGCACCCGTGACGGTACGCCTCCCCATGGTGCGTCGACTTCAACTTTAACGCGTCTTGGATCACCCAGCAACTCGACGCGCTGCGGAGTTCTACTTTATCATGCAAAGCCATCCAATGCATCTGCGAAAATGGTGAAGAGACTACATACTCCATGTGCCTTTACATTCGCATGTCATTTGTTGCGCAAGTCGACAAATATGCGGAATAAGATTTCGAAAGCCCGATTCAATGCAGTATCTCTGTGTAGAGGACACTTGGCCGTGCTTTGATAATGTAAAGTCGTCCTAACCATCAGTGAAAAGGTTGCCAATGCTAGGATAGTGCTAGATTTCGTTGCCAGTATGCCACGCCTTCGCGCAGGTTGCTCAGGAATTATGTGTCTGGATTTAATGCAATTAAATCGCATAAAATACACGACGTCTAGGTCGTGCTCTCTGCCCGGTTGGGCACTTTTAAGAGGTGTCGAACTAAAGGCTCACGGTCCGTGCCTGAACTTTGTCAGTCGATTTGGCACTTCATACGCCTCCTCATGGTGCGTCGACTTCAACGTTAACGCGTCTTGGATCACCCAGCAACTCGACGCGCTGCGGAGTTCTACTTTATCATGCAAAGCCATCCAATGCATCGGTGCAAATGGTGAAGAGACCACTTCGTGTGCCTTTACATTCGCATGTCATTTGTTGCGCAAGTCGACGAATACGCGGAGTAAGATTTCGAAAGCTCGATTCAATGCAGTATCACTGTGTAGAGGACACTCGGCCGTGCTTTGATAATGTAAAGTCGTCCTAACCATCAGTGAAAAGGTTGTTAATGCTACGATAGTACCAAGTTTGTTATTTCGCATGCAGCTCCGTTGCTTGGTATGGCGTAGATGTTGCCGACTCGATTTAATGCAATAAAATCGCGCAAAATACCCTTGGGCCTGGTCGTCCACGCCTCCCCGAGAAATTCTGGAGCGGTTCTATCGGTAGAAGATCGGTGGTCCATGCCACCACCTTTGTCGATCTCTTCGGCCTCCCCGTGCAGTGGCATACCTTGGTACATCTTGAATCACCCAGCACGTAGGATACGTTCTTGCATTCTCCCTTGCAAAGTGCGTCCGTGCAATGGACATGGGTCTGCTGTGTGTGCATGGTATGCGTGCTCTCGATGCGGCTGCGAGGCAAGCAATGCCAACCCCGGCTGTCACAAGAATCCGCTTTAGAAAGGACAGACCGTGTGACGAGAGAGACTGCTCTACGGCGCACGCAGGATCGACTAGGCCTTGGCCTTCTTGAGCTGCTGGATGCGCTCTTCGATGCGTGCTTGTTGGGCGGCTTGGACCTCCTGCATGGCCGTGCGCACGCGGGGCGCGGTATCAGCACGAGCTTGCGGCGTCGACGGCGGTGGCGTGCTCGGTTCTTCGTCCTCTTCCTCGTTGTCCTCTTCGTCATTGTCCTCGCTATCGCGCTTGGCCACGGGCGTCGACAACGTCTTGGGCTCGTCGTCCGTCGACGTCTCGTGCTCATCGTCGCTCTCGTCGTCGCTCGCCTCGATAAGGTCGTGCAAGATGTACTTCTTCTTGAGTCGCGTAAAGAGAACCTCTTCATGGTGGCGGTACCGGCGCAGGATGTTGTCGACGTCGTCGAGCTTGTCGGGGTTGTACGTCGTGTAAAACTCGACAAGGCGCTTGCGGTAGAGCTGGCGCTGCGAGAGCGGGAGCGGCGCAAAGTACCCGACCGCGAGCACGAGGCTAAAGGTGATCGTCGCGAGGAGCTGGAAAAAGACCAGCTGCGCCGGCTTGGCCAGCGGCAGCGCCTCGTACGTCTCGCTCTGCATGTGCAGCTGGAGGCAGAACGTCTGGAGACACACGAGCAGCGCCAGCAGCGTGAGGTAGTTGGACCGCGTCCGGGCGACCGCGGACGAGAACGCCACCAAGGTGAGGACGAGGCGCACAAAGAGCGCGCTGTGGGGCGAGGCCGCGACGTCGCCGACGTCCATCGAGGCCATCGAGGCCACGAGAGAGATGCCATGGAGACACGCTTCCGGGCGGAAGTAGGCCGCGCTAAGGAGGCAGAGCGCGCCGAGCTTTCCGAGCATGGTCGAGGCTTGGCGTCGTGATATAAACCGTTGTCTCGGTCTCTCGACTTTTGTCCAATCCCAGCGCACAATTCAGGCTTGGCCAATCCATGACGACAGAAGCGGATCTTTATCTGAATTTTAGCCAATGGCCTTTGGCCTGGCGAACAAGCGGATTGTTGCAGACCCGTGCCATACCACCGAGGTACGTGCATGCAAGGGATATAAGAACACGTGCCTTAATGCATCGCACTGGGGCTTTTGGAAACAGCGTCGGAGTGCACGGGTCGGGCTCGTTGGGTTCTGCATCCCACCAAACAATCCGGCTGTAAAACCCAGCAATAATCTGCTTTTTATATATTTTTGGCCAATCACCGATCGCTACGTGGTTTTAGCCAATCGGAGTGCGGGTTGTGGTTTGACGAGGTCTGCACTCCTCGCTTGTCGCTTCTGTGAGGTAGACGCATGCGGCTCTGGCGACGACGACGATGGTATGTGCATGTAGACTCTACCAGCCCACCATGTCGCAGCGCAATGGCACGGCCCAGATCCCGTTCTTCATTACCGCGGCCATGAAGGTCGAGCTTAAGCAGCTCGGCTACACGGACGACGACATCTACCGCGTACATATACCTCCATGCACCATACCATGGCTCATCGTTGCACATTAGATGCGCGTCGACGATGCGCACAAGTACGTCAAGAACGGTACGCGCAAGGGCGCGGCGCCGGCCAAGAAGCCGTCGCTCGCCAAGCGCTTCCTCGGCGGCGGCAATGCGACCGCGACCACCGACGACGCCGACATGGCGGCCGACATTCCGCCGTTGGCCATCGTGGCAGCGGTCGGGCTTGCATGCTTTATGGTGTACCTGCACCTCTTTTAAACCCGCCTGTCCTACATAGAACCACGCTGTACGTTATCGCTCTTCTTCTTGTATGTACTATCACGTTTTCTTCAATGTCGGCGTCGCAGCAAAGGCTTCGACCTCGGCGAGCACGTCATTGAACGACGCGACGTCACGCGGGTAGACGCGGATCCAGCCCGAGCCCGAGTCGTGCGACATCTTCTCGACGCGGTTCCAGTGCAAGTGGCGCTGGAGCGTGATCGAGATTTCTTGGGCGCCGGCGACGACGCGCCACGACGCAAACCCGGCCTGCGCAATGCATTCGGCGATCGGCTGCGTGAGCACGTCGCTCGTCAACGCGTCGTCCGGCACTTGGAGCACCAAATGCAGATAGACGCCCCATTGGCCGCGCAGCGCATGGACGTAGCCATGCTTGATGCACAGGAGCTAGCATCCATAATGATAGGCAAGGTTGCGAGAGAGATGCCTGGAGCAATAGGATGAGACGCTCGTAGCGCGGGTCTTCTTGCTCGCGCTCCTGGACAGGCCAGCGCAGCTGAAATTCAAGCGTCGCGCCCGAGCCCATGCGGTTAGTGAGCAGCGCGGTCCGTTGCTACCGACGTCGTCCTTCAAACACCATGATTCGATAAGGAAGAGGAACCGACCTGTGGCGACGGGTAAAAGGCTTCCATGCCGACTTCGACCGCGGCCGCCGCTTGCAGCGAGAGAGCAAAGAGCGGGTCTGACTGCTTGGTGCCGAGGCCAATGAGTTTTTCGAGCGACGCAATCATGGGCACGAGCGGCTGGTCGACGCCATCGTCGTCCAACATCCCGAGCCCGACGTCGACGGGGTTGACCTGCGAGAGCACGAGCCGGCGCACGTTGGCCGTTATGATCTAGCACCCGCCATATTGATAGTTTGAATCGTATCGAAAACAACGATACCTGCAGTACTGCGAGGCCCATCGTGATAGGAGTGAATGGCTGCTCCGGCGCATTCTTCGACGGCGACGCTGCGAGATGGCGCTGGAACGTCGCGCTCGCCTCGGCGAGTTGCTCGTACAGCGAGCGCCGCGTGGGATTGTCGGGCGAGAGCCATGGCGCCAATATGGTCTGCAGCAGGTCGTGGCACACGTCAAACAACTCGGGACACACTTGGATCGAGAACGGATCTTCGAGTCGACTGAGCTCTTCCTCGCGTCGGCCGACAAATACTTCGGGTTTTTGCATGCGTTGCATTTGCCACACGCTGAGCTCGCTCAGAATGCTGAGGAGGACCATCGAGAGCTACACACGCATCATGTCTTCTCTCCATGCCGGTGCATCGTACCTCGGTGCGCGTCCGAATCGATTTGAGGAATGAGTGCTAGCGCAAAGAAGGGGTTGTCTTCATTTCGCAGAGATGTAGGATGGAGAAAGTACTACCTGGCACAAGAGCAAGACGAGGACAGGGTACTGCTGCAAGGACGGCTCCGAGTCACTCTACGTCACATGTCAACTTGTGCACAACCAACCTCGATATCGGTACCAGCGCCTCGTGGTCTCTTGAGAGCGGACCCGCCACCTCGGGTGGTCGCACCGATGCACCGGACAATGATGCGGCCAAAAGGTCTGCCTCGGGCGACGACTGGACTCGAAAGCTGCTGGCTTGGAGCGGCGAGTAGACTTCGAGGCCCGGTATGTTTTGAAGGATCTGGATCGTCCGTCGCGTCACTTCGTCCTGGAGGGTCATGGACATTTGCTGAATGATGCGTTTCTCGAGACGCGCGTGGTCAGCCGACGAGTTGGAGCGCAGCATGGTTTTCTGGATCGACTGCGACAGCTGCGACACAAAGCCAATGGTTTCGTCCAGATCGAGCTCCGTCTCGGCCGCGAGAAGCATGCTTTTGACCACATGCAAGAGGCCGCAGAGAGACCCAGACATGAGCGCGACCTTTTGGAGCAGCTGCAGGGCCAAGACGCGAATGGACGGGATCGTCGACGTCGTCGCCGCCGATATCCACGCCATGAGGTCCTGAAGGAGCTGGTTCGGCGGTGTATAGAGCACCTCGAACTTGGTATCGTACACGCGCAGGCTCTCGAGGCCAAAAACACGGTGGCTTCTACAGAAAAGTGTCTTTTGAGATGGAGCTTGAGATGGACTCGACTTACCAGCTATGTTGTCGAGAACGAGCTTGACATGCGACGCATTCTCAAGGGCCTACGAGACAGTGATGGCCACAAGCAGCAACAAGACAGGCCTACCGACGCCAACGTCACGCGGTGCTGCAGCATCGGCTTGGCGACACTCGCGATCGCTTCGTATGTACGTCCCTTGTCCGTCGATGCGTACAACGTGTACGCACTGCACACGTAGCGCTGGGCGTGCCACTGCAGCGAGATGGCCGAGACCGAAATGGGCGGCTCAAAAACGAGCTCAATGGAGGCGGACTGCCCCGGGGCACACTCGACCTTCCAGTACGTCGTGCCATGCTCGACGACACTAGAAGGGGTAGGTAAACCCAATGCCATCCAACACAGATGGGCACTACGAGGCGGCGCCGTGCGCGTCATCGACTTGGGCCGTGCACACTGCGCGCTGGGGCAGCATCTCGGTTCTTGGCACGTCCGACGGCGGCGACCAGTCGTGAAAGATGGACATGGCGTCCGACTTGGCAAAGATGAGACCAATCTAATAGGCCAAGCTTTGAACATTGCCGCGGGACAAGGCGGTGTCGTACCTGCTTGAGCGGCTCCAAGGCTGCGGGCGAGTTGCTGTCGAACGTCTTGAGGATCGTCGTCAAGATGCGCAAGTAGATCTATGCATATAGGTCTGTCTTATGCGATGAACGATAGGCGACGACGTGCGTACCTGATGCAGCTGGTTGGTGTCTTGGGGCGGCGCCAGTTGCCGCTTCCGATACGTGGGTCCTGCGCAAATGCGCGTCGGGAGCGGGCACATGTCGATGCGCTCGAGCACAAACTTGAGCTCGCTCTTGGGTAGGCGCACGGCCATCTACCGACATCGTCCGCATGGAGGAGGTACGCAGTAGGACCGACCGTGTGCAGAGGCATGCCCTGCCGCGGGCAGCCCGCGATATGGGGCATGCTCAGCTGAAAGTTGGAGACCTTGAGCACGCGCTGTGTCGATGTGACGATCGGTGCAGCGGGGTTCGCGTCGTGAGCACCTCGCGCGAGCTCGGAAAGACGACGCTCGCACAGCCGCGCTCTTCGCACTGCAGCACGGCATGGTCAATCTCCTCGACGCGGGATGGGAAAAAGCTATGCACCAGTATGCATCATCATCATCATCATGGCACGAGACAATGTACCGGAAGGCTTGGGCGATCTCGTTCCCGCTCGAGTTCCACATGCCAATGCTGGTCTTGCCTTTGCAGCGGCGGCAGCCTTCGCGGAACGGGCGCTGGTTGTGTGTCGCCGCCGAGCACTTGGGGCACTTGGCGTGGAGCTCGCCGCCCTCGTGCACAGGCTCCGTGTACAGAAGGCCATGGACGTCGCAGCCGGGAAACTCGAGGTACAAGCACTCCTTGCACACGATGGCGGCAAAGGTCCGGAGCTCGGGGCGGTCGGCGGGCGCTGGGGCGGTGGCGGCGGTCATGGCGGGGTGGAGGAGCGGGTCGGGCGCGGAGGTTCTCCAGGCGCCAAAGAGAGACCGGGACGAGAGTGTGATGGACGACGTCGGTCGGGATTGTGGGGCCGGCTTCTCCCGATCTTATAATCGTAACGGCGCCGACCCAAATTGGTCGGGTCTGGAGTAAAACGCATGACGTTAAAGTTTAAACGCGCCGAGTGGATTTCGGCGTTTTTGATTTTGAACTATGACGGCTGAAGCCCATGTCTTCGACTCGTATTATAACACGCGCTAGCCTTGTGCTACGTACTAGGGGCTGCTGATGTCGTCGCGAGGGCATGTTGCTAGACAGCTGCCCCTTCTCCTGGAACCTGGTCTGGCTACCGAAGAGTCGCCTGGTCGGGCCAGTGCAAGTACCTTGGTAGCTGTGTGTATAGCACACCAGGGAATTTGTTATTTCCTTTATAGCACCCAACGATATGACCACGGCCGCTTGAAGAGCTCACTCGGAAGATGAAAGGGTCCCATCATGACCAGCACCCCTTGGCAACCTTTGGACGGAATAAAAACGTCGTTTAACCGAAACATGTTTAAACTACTCGTGTACGGATATAGTCATATATATCCGGATACATTCCGTTCGAAAGCGCGATGATCGCGGTGGACCCGCGCCGGCGAGCGATGAGCGCGAGCTTCCAGGGCATGGGCGTGACCCGGTGGGAGGTCCATGGGGTCGTGGAAGCCTTCATCTCCATGTACAGCAGCCCTATGCAAGCCATGGGCTCCAAGCATGGTCCGCTGTCCGAGCTGCAAGCAGGCCTCCGGTCGGCGACGTTCGTGCAGCACCTCAAAGCGCTGCCGCCATCGACCTTCCAGTCGCTTGTGGACGTTGTCGCACGGATGGCCATCAACATGGAGGCGAGTCGGCTCGAAGATGACATGCTAGCGATTCTCTGCGAGGTTACCAAGGGCGCGCTTGTCGGGTACCCGACGCCACCGCTCGCCAAGCTCCTTCAAGCGCTCATCCACACGCTTATCCGCGATATTCTGCATGACGCCGATATCGAGTCGGAAGAGCAAGACTCGAGCTTCTTGCTGCATCTGCAGACGCTTGCGGGCTGTCTGCACGGCAACGTCGGCGTCCGGCTCTTTGTCGCTGAGCTCCCCGAGCGGAAGGAGCTGGTCCGGACGCTTGCTGTCATGCTCAACCGCACGGACGATGCGAGCGTCCTCATCTACAGCATGTCAATCTTGGCGCGTCTCGTGCTGAGCGAACCAGTCGGGCAAAAGCTCTTCCAGACCAAGAACATTGAGAAGGCGCTGGCGCTCATTAGCCCGATCGTGTCCGACAAGGACAACACCGTGCTTCTCTTGAGCTATGACAACTCGTCGACCAAAGAAAGGTACTACCTGTTTTCCTCGCTATGTGCAAACGACCTAGTCTCATGCTAGTGTATCGCTGCAAATGGCGTGCGTGGACCTCCTCGCGGACCTCGCGACGCAGCCCTGGATCCTTGCAGCCTTGGAGGCCTCGGAAGAGCTTCACGAACTCACGCAAAGCTTGCTGACGGATCGTTTCCACATGCAAGAGAGTAGCGTCCTGCACCTTCAAGTGACCTTGTACTATCTCTCGACGCTCGTGAGCTTGAGCCACCGCTTTCGGCGTGACCTTGTCCAGCGCTTCCCCAGCCTCTCGCAGACGCTGCCTGTCGTGCTGCACCCCGTCCAGTCGATCGCAATCGCGGCCGCTCAGTTCTTTGTCGCGTTTCTTGGCGAGGACAAGGCCGTCGTCGACGCGCTCATCGATACGTGCCCCGAGGTCCGTGGTTTGACCCCGTTGTAGCATAGTACATTCATAGCATGCGCAGGGCGAACCGTCGACGCTGCAGCCGACGCTGGTTGAGCTCTTTCGCTTTGTGCACACGACGATCGCTACGCTCGTGCGCGACGCCGGCGACGTCGACACGGACTTTTTCTTGGATCGCATCACGTCACCCGACTATGACCACGCCGTGCACGCTTGCCACGTCCTCACGCGCCTCTCGCAGGACAAGCGGGTGTGGGCCATGAGCGTTGCGCTCGTCAACATGACGCAGGTAATATCTCTACCGAGGTCGCTTGTACCGATGTGTATGATCTGGGTGGTCGTAGCTGACGTCGCTGGCGCAGCGCGAGGCGCACTACATGCAGTCGCTCTCGTCGGAGCGATGCCTCGAGTTTACGCCGCGCTTTTCGTTGGCCTTTCTCGTACGTTGTAGCATCCATCCTGGCGGCTTCGACAGACTGGCATGTAGACGCTGATTGGCACGCTCCTCTTGCACGACGACTTGCCGGACGAGAGCCACGCGACGTTGCGCGAGTTCAACCACGTGCTCCAGATCCCCGATGTCGCGGCCATGATCAGCCGCGGCCTCTGCCAATGCGACAGCAAGCACTGGACGTACGATGTGCTGCACTTTCTCCGCAAGTTTCTGTCGCAGTCCAAGACCAAGGCGTTCCACGAGCGCATTAGCCTCATGACGCTTGCCGACGGTCTCTACACGTACAGCCAAGTACGATGCATGTCAATGGATATCGTCTGAACATGTGTCGTGCTAGCGCATGCACGATGTCGTCGCGACCGCACGCACCGCGGTTGCGACCTCGGACGCGGCCATGCTGGGCGTGACCAAGCAGCTGGACTTGGCCAAAGCCGAGCATGACGTGGCCAAGCGCGCGTGGGCCGACCAAATCGCGCAAGACGACGAGCGCCAGCAACGTCGAGAAGCCGAAATGCACGCGCAGCTCGCCGCCAAGGACGCTGCATACAACGCGCTTCAGAAAAAGTACGAAGCGCATGTCGCGCATCTGCAAAAGCAGCTCGACGTGGCGGCGCACGAGCTCGATACCAAGGTACACACTTCGATGTAGTACTCTCTTCCGACACCGCATTACACGGCATGGTAGAACCAAGCGCTGGAGAAGAAACAGCGCGCCCTTCATGACAACCGACTGCAGCGCTGCAGCCTCGAGGAAGTCTGTCTCTTTTTGAAAAAGCTGGAGGTGGACACGATGATGAATGTGGCTAGGAAAACAACGAGCTCAAGCGCAAGCTCCACGTGCTGGAGATGCGCATTGACGAAGTCGCCGAGGCCCACGCCCGCACACGCCACGATATGATGGAAAAGTATACCGTCCTAGCTTCCGTGCACCGCGCGACGTCTCTCGTAGAGAACAAGCCCGGCGCGACGCGCAGATCGAATTTGAAAGCATCTCGGAAGCGTACGCGGCGCAGAGCGTCGAACACCTCGCGCTCCAGGAAGAGTTGGCGGTTGACACTTTGCTACAAGTCGATTGGATGCCACCGGTTGCGTAGGCTCTGCAGGTGGCGCGCCGCGAGCGGGACGCCAAGTTTACCGAGACGTACAAGCAACTCGTGCTCCTCGCCAAAGCCCACACGATGCAGAGCGAAGAGTTTAGCAAGACAATGACAGTACGACACACTTTTGCATCGATCGTCAATGTCGAGGCGATGGACAATGCGTAGGAGCGAGACCAGCTCGAGGTCGAGCTCAGCTCGGCGCAAGAGTCGTTTGCGTCCTTGAGCAGCCGCTTCGAGTAGGACCGCGTCGGCGGTGATGATGATGATGATGCGGGACTATGTAGGAGCCAACAGTTGCAGCTGCAGACGTATGTCAAGGAGAAAGCGGCGCTCGATGGCACGATTGCGCGCTACCAGCAGCATCTGCAGGACGAACAAGACGCGGTGCATGCACTTCGTCGCGAGCGGGATGACGCCCAGCGGCAGCTCCAAGGCCTGCACGTACGTCATCTCTATGGAGCGATGTAGTACGTGGCATTAGGCAAAATTCCTCGCCAAGGAGAGAGAGGTCGCCGACGCCTGTCTCCAACTGCAGGCCAAAGACGCCACGATTCGGGATCGGAACGACGACGTCAAGCGACTGGTGCGTCTCCTTGGTTGTGGATATGCGCATCGATCCATATATATCAACGCTAGAAACACGAGCTGCAGCAACACGCCGAGCTCCAAGCCATGATCCACAAGCTGAGCTCGCACAACGGCGAGAGCTCGATGAACACGACGCTCTCGCAGCGGCCTGCGCCGCCACCCACCGCATACGTGCCCGACTCGCAGTACAGCCAGTAGTAGAAGTACTGCGTTCGTCGCTGCTTGGACCCACTATTTAATACACCGCACATCGTCTCTTGATTCTCCTCGACGCCAGCATCACCCTACGAGCATCCGCATCCTCGGAGATGCGCGGATCGGAAGCATCCAAAGAAATTTATGCAACTTCAACGTGGCAACCTTCACTCGGCTCGCTGCTACGTAGCCGCGCTGGACGGCGCTCTAGTCGATCTGGACAGGCCAAGGCGCTCTCGTCGATGGCTATCGACTTCAATTAGTCGAATGGAGCGACTGGCGGGCGCCCTCTCCCAGCGCTGCTCTCTGCTTGGATTCGGCGTTGTGACTGGCCAATCGGCTGGCGGCCAGTCATTTTTGAGAGCTCATTTCCAAATTTGCCGAAAATGAGCAACTTGATCGCCAAGCAAGTCGAGTTCTACTTCTCGGACAGCAACTTCCGCCGGGACAGGTTCCTCCAGGCCGAGACCGCCAAGCACCCGGAGCGCTTCATCCCGTTCAGCGTCCTCTTCACCTTCAAGAAGCTCCAGGCGCTGACGACGGACCCGGCCGAGCTCGCGTCGGCCATCGAGACCTCCAAGGTCGTCGAGCTCAACGCCGAGCGCAACGCGCTTCGCCGCGTCGTCGCCGAGCTCCCGGTCGACACGTCGGCCGAGCGCACGATCGTCTTTGTCGGCCTTGGCACGCTCCCGCCGACGCACGAAGAGATTGCGGCGGCCTTTCCCGCGGACGTTGTCACGTTCTCGCGCGTCTGCAAGATGGCCGGTCGCTTCTTTGGCTGCGTGCACGTCGAGTTCAAGGACGACGAGACGACGAACGCGATCCTCTCGGGCCCGGCCATCGTCATCAAGGGCCTCGCGACGCAGAAGATGCGCCTCGCCGAGTTCCTCAAGCTCCCCATGGACGACCGCCGTGACTTTGAGAAGGGCATCCAGGTCATGATCCGGTCTACCAACGTCCCGGACGACGTCTCGTTCCACGAACTCATGGCCGCGATCGAGGGTCTCTGGGCCGACGACCGCCATAAGAAGCCGCTCGTGAGCCTTCTCGAAGCCAAGAACGAGCTCCAGCTCCTCTACTCGCAGCCGGCGTACGCGACGGAAGCTGTCGAGTACCTTGCCGCGCACCCCGTCGTTCTCAAGGACGTGACGCTTGTGTTCGAGCACGTGACGGACGCTGAAGCCGTCGCCGCTCGCACCCGCAAGGAGTCCAAGAAGCGCTCGCGCGACGAGTCGGACGGGCCGCGCCAGTACGTGTGCATCTCCAACATTGGCAAGGGCGTCAAGTTTGGCGACATCAAGGACATGCTCATCGCGGCCGTTGGTGAGGGCAACCGCCCGCCGTACGTCGAGTACGCCAACGGCTCGACGATCGCCAAGATCAACTTTACCGACATGACGTCGAGCCACCGCATCCTCGCGCAGCTCCAGGCGCTCGAGAACCCTTTGCTCGGCGGCAAGACGCCAGTCTTTGCGCTTGTCAACGTTGGCGAAGAGCCGCCGGTCGAGGTCGACTACGAAAAGGGCCTCATCGTCAAGCTTACTGGCGTGCCCTCGACGGTCTCGCGCGATGTGATCAAGGCCACCCTCAACGATCAGATGGACGCGGCGGGTGTCGTCGCCTACATTCAGTTCCAGCTCGGCCAGACCGAGGCGCTTCTCCGCGTGGATACGCCGGTCGCGGCCGCCAAGGTCGTGTCGCTCGTGAGCCACGGCGTGGTCGTCGGTGACAAGGAAGAGAAGCTCGGCGGCGCCGTCATCCTCGAAGGCGATGAGGAGCACGCGTTCTGGCTCGAGGCCGAGACGGCGCGCCGCGCGCGCCTCTCCCAGTCGGATAGCAACAAGTTCCAGCGCTCGGACGGCGGCCGTGGCGGCCGTGGTGGTCGTGGCCGTGGCCGCGGTCGTGGCGGCCGTCGCTAAGCACGTGCGACACGATAGTTTTGATAACGCCATTATAACACCTTATGTAATCCACGTCGGCGTGTTAGCCCAGCGCGACCGGTGGCCGGACGAGATACATGTCAGAGGGATGGCCCGCGCGCACTCGGTCGGCCACGAGCGACCGATGAAAGCGACGTGGTGCGGAGGAGTGATGGCGCTGATGGCACGGGTTCCAGCGCGCCCACCAGGACACGCTCGTCGGTGGGAAGCTCACGCTGCTGCTCGCCGTGCGTCGCATGGAGGAGGACCGTGTTGCCTTCATCGGATCTTGAAAACTGAGCGCGCGGTGCACGGCTGAGTGATGAACGTAGTATCGTCAGCAAAGCCGTCGACCAATCGGCATCGCGAGTGGCCTCGTGTCATTTTCCGTGGCGGTCCGAGGAGAAGATCGATGCGAACAAAGCTATGCGAAGAGGGTGGTAGTAGCCACTAGCTCGTTCGAGGCCGCGAACGGAGACGGCCCTTGGTTCCTTCTTCCCGCAGCTGAGCCCATGAGCCGGAATGGCGACAGCTCGAAGAAGCGAGCGTGATGGAGAGAGAGTGCAATCACGGCATTGCCGAACCGAAGAACGAGGTACAGTAGAGACCATCTCTGATCATGGACTGTCTGGGTCCGACAAGAGAGAGAGCGCGGCCACCGCGATCTTTTCGTTGCCGAACCATGGACGAACGTCATCTGATCGCACTTGGCACTGGCTTCTTGTCTGTCCTGTTGCCACGTCAGCACCCGGAATATCCGTTCTTAGAGGTCCTTTATAGATGGATACGAAGACCCGTGCCACATTTAAGGTGCCACGAATAGCGAAGATTTGGCAAGCATGAAGTCGAGCGAGCTCGAGGCCATGAGCGTCGAGGAGCGCGTCTCGTGCTTCTACTGCGCGTTCGGCGTCGACTTTATTGGCGCCAACGTGGCGCTCTCCGAGGCCTTGATCGCGCCCGAGGCCGTGCCCACGTATTTGCAGTACCTCGAGGGCCCGAACCGCGACGCGTGGCTTCTCACCGAGTCGGTTTTGATCCCGTTCGCCCAAGGCAAGGCCATGAAGGACGAGCAGCAGCGGCTTCTTGTCAACTTTGAGGTCGCACGCCGCAACTGTGACGTCCTTAGTGCGGCGGGCGCGATTCCGATCTTTGCGCAGCACCTGGCGCGGGCGATGCTGAACCTCAAGGGCCTCAACTTTCAGTACATGGACATTGACCAAATCGAGCGCCTCTTTGGCCAGCTCAACCGCGCGCTCACGATGCTGTACCTCACGATCGTGCTCAGCCCCGACTCGGTCTGCTTAGAGCGATCGCTCTTTGAGCTGGGCGTGTGCCAGCCCAAGCAGGTTTGGGCGATCATGTCGCCATCGCCTCAACCTCCGTTTAGGTGCTCTTCGACATCTTTGACTGTTTGCAAGCGCACTACGCCGTTGCAGGCTTCCCCCTGAAGCGCATCATGCTGCTCCTCTACGCGTGGATCACGCGTATGCTTGGGGACCTCCCCGCCTGACCCAACTCAAGAACGACCGACGGACCTTCCATGCGCTGCGTACGCATGCAATGCCATTAGTTGGCATCTCATGGCGTACAATGATAGCGCTCGAAATCCCGACCAAGCTCCAGTGCAAGAGCATCAAGCGACTGGTGGTGGTCCCGATTGCCGAGCCGGTCTCGGACCCTCTCTATGTGGCCAAGGTCAAGGCGCAGAACCAGCGCGATAGCATCTACGCGTCGTACATCCACAAGCCGCATCATGATATTGCGCCGGCGACCTCGACGACCGACGACCCGACGTTCGACCAAGAGTGGGGCCACCGCGTCGAGCTCGTGTATCGAACGCTGCTGTTGCCCAACGCCAAGGAGATCATGAGCGTCTTCGCCTCCGTTTTGGCCGCGGGCACGAACCCGGACAAGCGCCATGTGTTTGGGAAGCGCGGGTCGGCGGACGCGTCCTCGTATGAGAATAATTCGCAGACGAACGTGTCGCCGGAAGAGCAGGCGTACCTCACCTACATGCTGCGCGAGAAGGCCATCCTCATGGACGCCACGTCACTCACGCTCTTGACGCTGCTCAAGCACATTCGAGCGAGCCATCTGCTCAAGGCCGAGTACCTCGCGTCGCACCTTGTAGACGCCGGCGTGCTCCCGACCATGACGGTCTGTCTCATTATATGGAAAAAGTATCAAGTTGATAGTGGACGTAGAAATTCCTCAACCGCGACTTTGCGACGTACGTGCAAGTGCGTGGCCTCGACGACGGCTCGCAGCGCGTCGAGAAGCTCCCGAGTCGCAACAAAAGCTCACGGTCGTCGTGGCAATGGACGACGCTTCGAGTGTTGCCGAGTACGCCCGGCAGCAACTTCGCTGCGTCGCGTCGGTCCTTCGGCTCGTGCAGCGCCTCACGAAGCGCAAGCCGAGCTTGATCAAATCGACCTTGTGCCGGTCGCAGTCGCTCGTGTGGCTCAAGCGCGTCTTGAACCTCAAGGAGCCCATGACGCGCCTCTATGCGCTCAAGCTCGTCAAGTCCCAAGCGCGGTACCTCGGCCACCAGGTCCAAACCTACCTTGCCTATATATCATTATCAACAACTACGTAGTGGGTGCGCAAGTTTACGTGCGTGCATTTGCTCACGGAAGTCTACTTGTACGTGCGGCCCGAGCTCGAGGACGACTGGCTGCGCAGCGAAGACGACGACACGAGCGTCACGTCGGCGCCCAAGCCCGTCGAGACCCTTCTCGCCGGCGAAGTCCAGGCCTACCACCACAAGCACTACTGGGACCGCCTCAAGACGTCGCCATCGGCCTCCAACGTGAGCATCGTCGTGCAAGGCATGCAGGACCTCGAAGCGGATGTGCTGGACGTCGAAGGCGGCAGTTGCCGCAAGCTCTTTGCCGAGCTCAAGCTCGACACAGGCACGTGCCAGCAGTACGAAAAGTGGCTCGACATTCAAGGGCTCATGGCCGACGCCGACGCGCCACTGCCGATCGCGTTTGGTTAAAAGAATACGACAACTAGGATCGACTACTCCAGCGGCTTGGATCGACTACTGCAGTGACTCGGGTCGACGACTGCTGTGACTCGAATCGACTACGACAGCGGAGAGAACGGAGTCAAGACGCCGTGGCCATGTGGTAGAGTAGCATCATGGTCGAGTACTTGGCGCGCCGCAGCGTGTCAAACTGGTAGTGGCGCTCTTCGCAGTTTTTCAAGAGCGTCGACCGATGGTCGAGAAAGGGGCACGCAATCTCGACATCGTCGAGAACGTCGTTGGCGACAAAGTGGGGCACCGCCTGCCGTTGCAGCGGCACGTCCGAGTCGACGCTCACGGCGGCGCACACGTCGCAGACGGCGCCTGTCGGCGACTGCCAGTAGGGCATGTTGACAAGCACTTGGTCGCAGTGGCCACACGTGGGCTGGAGCGGAATCACAAACAGCGAATCCTTGGTCACCTCGATCGCGCGGTACACGTCGGCCTTGATCGCGTCGCGCGCCTTGGCCTTGGGCATCTCATCGGTCTTCTTCTTCGCCCGCGGTTTGAGCGGCGTGAGGACCGCGCGGTCCAACTCGGCGGGCCAGTAGTCGCCGTCAAAGTACGGCGGCAGCGGCGCATTCGAGATGCCCGAGTGGAGCGCGGCAAAGTGCGTCTTCCAGAGCGTGTCGTGGCCGAAGGCGACGTGGCGCGCTTTCGCCGCTGCAATCACCGCCTTGTACCACAACAGGAGGCGCTCCTTGCTCGGGTTGCGCTGGTGCGACGGGTGGCACCAGTAGATAAAGTCGCCACCGCGGGTCGTGGGGCAGGCCCAAATGTGCGCGTGGGTGAAGCCACGGGCCTTTGCAAACGCGAGGTACGCAATCACGAGCTGCTGGTACACGGACGTGCGGGCGTGGCGCGGGCGAAAGTACCCGAGCGAGTCGAGGTACGCAATGTACGTCCGGTTGTTGTTGCTTGGGATGCCACAGTCCGGCCCGTACTCTTGCACGTACATGGAGAAGAGGCACACGTCGGTGCCGTCAATCTCCTGAAACACAAGGATCGTCTTGGAGATGTACGTCACCTCGGACGGGTACGCAAACCCGTTGAGCCGAAAGTGGTCTTGCGCGTTGGCCGTCACGGGCGCGGTCACGCGGATCGACGACGCGAGCTTGACAAAGAGCGAGTTGGCGACCGCCGGCGACTCGCCGAGCGAGACCAAGTGGTCGCGGATCCACGTTTGCATAAACGTGCCGAGGTGCGTCGTCGACGCATGCGCGTCCGGGAGCGCGTCCTTGAAGAGCGGCTTGATGCACTTGGCCTTCTTCACGACCGGCGAGTGCGTGCTCATGTCGTCGCGCTTGGTCGCCATCGCGCTCAGGTCGATGGGCGCAAGCATCTTGTCGGGCGAGTCCAAGACGGGCTCCGTGTGGTTGTCGTCGTGGCGCGGCGACGCAGGGTCGCGGCTGGTGTATGTGCTACTCTCTGGCTCGAGCGACCGCAAGCGGCAAAGGGCACATGTGAACGGCACGTCGTCGTCTACCGCGATCTCGCTGTTGAAGAGCGCGCAAATCTGGTGCACCCAGCCCATGCAACCGTCGCATTGCACCCAAGGTTCCGTGAGTTCTTCTTGGAACTTGGCTTGGAGTAGCTCGGCTTTGGTCACGACGCGGTCGCCGTAGGTAAACTCGGCTTGCTTCGGCACGCACTTGGCGCACCAGTTGAGCTGCCCGTCGGGCGTCATAAAGTACGCGGCGTGGCGGCGGAGGCGCTGGCCGCACTTGCCGAGGCAGAGCACGAGCGGCGGCTCAAAGTTGATGCACTTTTCTTCGCAGAGGCCGCAGACGTGGCCCTGGCAGTGCGTGCAGCTGTGCTCGGCGCGCTTGCTCTCGTGGTCGCGTTCGCGCCGGAGGTACGACGCAAACTCGCGCTCAAACTCTTTGGCGAGGAGCTTGGCCGACTCGTGTACAATGTGGCCCGGCGGGTTGAAGAGCGTCGCGTTGGCAAAGACGAGGCGAATGTCGTCGGCCACGTGGTCGGCCGACGCATACAGCAGCGCGCTCAGGTTCTGCTTGACGGTGCCGAGGTCCATCGGGCGCGCAATGACGTCGTAGTACGTGGGACAGGCGAGGCGCACCGGGTCGACCGGCGCGTTAAATATGTTTTGGTTGATGCGGTGGAGCATGAGGCGGCTCACGAGCGCTAAAAGCGGCGTCGCAATCTTCTCGCGGCGCAGATCCTGTAGCTGCTGGTGAAGTTGCGCCGCCGACGCCACATCGAGCGGCGACAAGGTCGGTGCACGCAGCTCGTGGTACGGGCGCTTGCCCATGTCCCAATGGTGGCACTCGACTTCGGACGGGCTGTCGCCGTAGCTCGGGCGCGGGCGCTTCAGATGGCGCGCTTCCGTATTCATGTTCATGGTCGTCACTACACAGAGATGCAGGTCGCCCATCTGCATGCGGCGAAAGAGAGTGAGTCGGACCTCGAGGCTGGCAAGGAGGGGATGGAGGATGGACAAGGAAGGGGTCGACGACGACTACGAGATGGCAAAGTCGCATGAAATCGCATTACATTAGACGTCTACTTGACGGAGACGCTCCATCTTCCTACAGGACGCTTGGATCGACATGCACTTACCGTGTGGCGGGAAATTCAAATATCCAAGTGCGGGCGGCGCTGCAAAATCGCAAATGACCTGCAACCGGTTCGAAAAGCCGACACGTTTCATTGGCGGTTTGTATGCCAAAATTCGAAGCGCGATCTTGCCCAATCATCTCCAGTTCTTTCTCGAATTAGGAGCGGGGTAGGGCAGGACCATACAAACAGCAAGTGAAAGCGAGAGGGTCGGCGGTGCATCATTCCCTCTATCTTTGCATACATTGTAGGTATGGATAATGGATCTTTGGATCTCGGTCCTAGGGAACCTGTTAAATATGATAAGTCAGCAGAAACGATACTGGCGCAAAGGGGGGGGTTTCGCGGCTGGTGGAAATCGGGCAACTTCGACTTCGGGTCAAATGCCTTGGTGCTTGTATGGACGCAGAATGGTGGTCGGACCAGATGCCACGTGTGACCAACGCCGGCGGGTCCCTTGCTACACAGCGAGTTTGTATACGAGTGAGAAAAGGCTACCACCTGGCGTTCACGTTTTTGTGGCGTCGGCGACGAAGGCGGCCAGTTCCGCTGGCCGCGGAGCGCCAGGAGCATGCCACGTAGTACGAGAAGGCAGCACGTCGAAGTCGAGTCGATGCGCTAGGAGCATGTAGCGTGGGCAGAGCCAAGCCGATAGGAGGACGAGGCGCAGTGGCCGAGCGACAGAGAGCCCCATCGCGTGGGATCGCTGATCCAAACCAACAAAACCATGCGGTCGCGGCTTTTCTTCGCGCGCCAACTTCGATTCACTGGCCCGCGATGATTTGAGCGCACAGTGTACACGGTACCGGTATCGCAGAGGGACTGCAGTAAACGTCATACTAGAGTAATGGTTCGTTGCCGAGACAGAGGAGCGAGCGCATGCCATCGAGCCGATTTGAGGACGGCGGAGACGGCTATTGCTCTCGAGACGTCAAGAAGTCCACATCTATGCATCGCCGCCGGCGTGGCTATGTCAAGGTTGACAAGTGGAGGCAGCGAGACCTAGCGAAGTTGACGCTTGACCATGCCATCGTATCTCTCTCATGCTGCGATGCGTGTGAGCCACAACCCAGCGACGGTTTGCGTGGTTGGTCGTGTGGCAAGACGACTCGGCTTGTCATGGCCACGGAAGAGACCCTGTACGTTGTACCATGCGCTAGAGCTGGTGCGTCCATCTCTGCATGGGCAAGCTCGCTGCGCGCTTGAAGCGAGGTTGAAGCTGCGCGCGTGCGATCTTTGCTGGCCTTTCTGGCGTGTCGTATGGCTTTATAGAGGTTTCATGCAGAATTGAGTCGGACGAGGCGTCTTTGCTAGCGTTGGAAAACTCAATTGAGTGTCGTGGCGGCGAGGAAGCCCATTATTAGCTCTGAGAGGTCCTCATCTTCACAAGGAAGGTCACAGATTTGGATTGGATCGGGATGGCGATGGACGAGGTCCAGTTCGGCGACGACTTTGGCCAGAAGATCGACCTCACGGTGCGCATCCGCGAGATCCTCCGCAACTACCCGGGTACGCCCATGCGCCCCATGCCCGAGGTAGACGAGGGCCTCATGATGCTGCGCAGAGGGGACCTCGGTGCTCAAGGAGATGGTGCAGAACGCCGACGACGCGGGCGCGACGACCATCTCGTTCTGCCTCGACAAGCGCACGCATGGCGCCGAGCATCTCGCGTACACGAAGCTTGCATCCTTCCAGGGCCCCTCGCTCCTCGTGCACAACGATGCGCGCTTCACGGACGCCGACTTTGCGTCCATCCAGGTACTGCCCATGGCGTCCTTCTTCGACATGCAACCGAAGCCCATGCGTAGCGCATTGGCGACTCGCTCAAGAAGGATGCGTCCCAGGGCTGGAAGACGGGATTGGCTTCAACTCGGGTGCGCCATCAGCACGCTTAGTAGTACACGATGTCTCATGGCAACGATTAGTGTACCACATGACGGACCTTCCAACGTTTATTAGCGGCAGCCACATTGTCATGTTTGACCCGCATGTACGTCTTACGCTTCATCGTTGTTGATGTCTCATGCGTGGGCTAGGCGTGCCACTTGCCCAATGTGAACCCGAGCAACCCCGGCAAAATGATCAACTTTATGACGCGGCGCGATCTCCTCGAGCAGTACCCCGACCAGTTTTGTCCGTTTGAAGGGTTTGGCTGCGACCTCCGATCGCCCTTTGATGTATCTTTCGAAAGCGCTTGCTCGGAGGATGTCGTACTCATGGAGGTGCTAGGGCACGACGTTCCGCCTGCCCCTGCGCACGCCCGAGCAAGCCAAGACAAGCAAGCTCACGTCCCGGGCGCAAACGCTTGCCTCGGTCTCCCAGCTCCTCGACGATTTTGCCCACGAGTCGACAATGATGCTCCTCTTTCTGCGGAACGTGACGACGATCCACATTTCGCAGTGGGAGACGGGCCAGTCGGCGCCGACACCGCTGTACACAACGAGTATCACCAACTTGTCGCGCGATCTACAAGCGCAGCGCAGCCAGGCATCGCTCAAGGCACAAACGTTTCCGCTTCATGGTCAGATTTGCGACTACCCGCTCAAAATTACGACCCGTGACTTTGGCTCCAACAACGAGGCGACGTCGACGTGGCTTATCTGCAACCAGCTGGGGGGCAAGGAGAGCACGGCGATGGCGACCGACCCCGAGAACGCCTCGCTGCGACTCGTGCCCTACGGCGGAGTCGCTGCAAGCTTGGATATCTCGACACCGCTGCAAGGCCGTGCGTTCTGCTTCTTGCCACTGCCCGTCGAAACGGGGCTTCCAATCCACGTACGACAACGTGTGCGTGTGTAGACAGACCCACACGTGGATGATTAGGTCAACGGGTACTTTGAGCTCTCGTCCAACCGGCGCGATGTGTGGTCGGGCGACGGCCTCACGGGCGAAGGGCTCTTGCGTGCGCAGTGGAACACGAGCCTTTTAGCGTCGGTCATTGCGCCTTGCTACGCGCGCGCGATCGAAGCCATGACGCAGTACCACACTTCGCCACACCTCTTTCCGTTGCAGCTGCCGCTGCCGCCGTGGCAGGCGCTCGTTACCTCGGCGCTGACGCATGTCGCCGACAAGCCGTGCTTGTATACGCTGACAAAGACGTTTGTCGCACCAAAAGACGCGCTTGTGCTTGGGCCGTCGCAGGACAAGGACGCGCTGGAGCCGCTGCTTGTCCACGACGGCCTCGGCCTCGTGTCGCTGCCGCCACCACTGCAGACGCTGCTTTGTGCCACCAAGACGATTCCGATCGAGTTTGGGCCGCGCCACGCACGGGCCTGGTACCGGACGCATACGACGTGCCACGGCAGCAATGCGGCCGCGATGCACACACTGCTCGCGTTCGTGCTGCGCGACGGACCGCGCGACGACCTCGACGGCGTCCAACTGCTGCCACTCATGGACCACTCGGTGGGGCGGTTTGTCATCCAAGCCCCTGTGGACACAACCGGCTTGCAGCAGCTTCTCTCGATGCAGTTTCCGCGGTCGTTGTGCGTTGCCGCGCTGCAAAAGCACGAGAACGACGCACAAGCCGCGCTCGAGTGGCTCTTGACGGGTCCTTCGGCGACCATGTGTACGAGCAACTACTACCTCTGCTCGCCGCTCGAATTGAAGCTCTTTGGCGCCAGCTGCCGCCAACGCCTTGTCGACATGGAGGCTATTGGCGACTGCAAAGCGATGCTATTGGCGCTCGCGGCACATGTAAACGTGCAAGTGATGGGCGTCCAGGACCTCGGCGATTTCTTCCCGCTCGTGTTGCCGCCACACTGGGCGCGGCAGTCGCGCGTCGCGTGGTCGATCGATGCAACCGACCTCCCGACGCTCGCGTGGTTTCAAGACCTCTGGGCGTACATTGGGAACAGCCCGAGCACGCTTCTCGACCTTTGCGACCAGTGGCCGATCGTGCCGACGCAGAACGGCGCCGTGTGCAGCCTCCGGAAGCAATCGTCGATTCTGCACACGGCGTGGCTCGCGCCGTCGATCGTTGCCATCCTCTTGCGCATGCAAGTCGATGTGTTGGCGCACGATCTCTTCCGCACCGAAGTGTCGTCGGACGTCTGGACGTACTTTCAGCAACCGACACCGGAAGGCGTCGTCGCGTCCTTGTCCCGGGACCGCGTCGAGATGCTCTCAGCGGCCGAGCGCGACGAGCTCCGGACGTATATTTTGTCGCTGCACTGCGACGACATGAGCGCGTCGACGGTGCAGGCACTGCGATCGTTGCCGCTCTTCCACGGCTTTGGCGTCCGCGAGGCGAACGCGGTGGTATGGGACGAGGCCGACGACCGCAGTCTCTTTGTGCCGCTCACGCCCGGGCTGTGTGTCGCCCCCGAGATCGAGCCGCGACTTCTGGACGGCCGCTTTGTCGTGCATCCCGAGCTATCCAAGAAGGTGCTCCATAAGCTCGGGCTCCCGACGATCTCGTGCGTCAATTTCTTTATGACGAGCATGTTTGCAGCCGACGTGTGGTCGACGTTGCAGATCGAGATGCAGCTCTCGCTGCTCGAAGCCTTCTTGCTCCACGTGACGACGTTTGTGCGCGACGATCCGCGCTTCATCGGACGTGCCCAGCAGCTGAAGGTGTTTGCGACCATGACGGGCTCGTGGCGCTACGTCACGGAGCTCTACGATCCGGACATTGAGGCGTTTGTCGACATGATCGAGCCCAGCTGCTTTCCATCGGCGTCGCTCCAGACGCCAGCGTACCTCGGGGCACTGCGTCTTTTGGGCATGCAGCAGATGCTCACGCGATCGTCGGTGCTGCACATTGCCGAGGTCATTGCGACAACGCAGGCTGACGACGAGACGACGCGCGTCGAGTTTCAAAGCCGCACCAAAGAGTTTGTCAAGTATGTCGATGCACACGCCGACCGCCTTCTCCAGCCCCAGGTACCCATGCACGTGTCGACGAAGAAAAAGAAGATGTCGCTCCAGAAGAAGACTGGAAGCTTCTTCAAGGCTTTTTGGACAGCCGGTCGTCCACGCTCCAAGACGACGACGAGGACGAGGTGGACGAAGCCGCGTTGCAGTCGGAAATGCAAGACATCATTGCCTTCCGGGAACAGCTCGTGCTCTTGGCGTGGATGCCCGTGCTGCAGACGCCGCCGTATGCCTGCCTGCCGTGGCCGTCGTCGCCACCTCTCGTTACGTCACCGCTCGCGATCCGACCCGCCGAGACGCAGTGGCTCTGCTCGGCGAGCTTTTTTATCCTGGACGGAGCGATCTCGTCGGTGTCGCTGCGTCAGCTTTTCGGGTGGGACGCATCCCATGCGTTGCCCGTGCTTCTCCGGCAGCTCGTGGAGCTCCATGCGACGTTCCACGCCATTGGCAGCGACGACACGCATCTCGCACGACTGGCAGCGCAGGTGCCGACGCTGTATGCTGCGCTCGCTGCGTACCTCGTGAACGATAGCAACGCTGCGAACGTCATGCAGAACGCGCTGCACAACGTCCCGTGGCTCTGGATCCGGGACCGCTTTTGGCGCGCCGACCAAGTCGCTTTCGACTCGTACGTGCACGCGCACGAGTACCTCGCGGTCGTGCCAAAGGAGTTGCTGCCGTACGAACATCTCTTGTCGGCGCTTGGCGTGCGTCGCCGTTTCCACGCGCGCGACTATGTCGGCGTCCTCGAAGCCATGTTTACGGCACACAACAACAACAACAAGACGCTCTCGAAAGAAGACGTGGCGCTCGCGATCCAACTCGCGCAGACGCTCAGCGACGAGGTATCGACGGGCCTCGACGTGTACCTTCCGACCGCCAGCAATGCCCTGCAAGTGGCGTCATCACTCCTCTTTAATGACGCGCCGTGGCTCGCGCAGCCCCCGGGTCTTGTGTTTGTGCACCCGCAACTCTCGAACGTGGTCGCGGGCAAGCTGGGTGCTGTCTCGTTCCGGTCGTCGCTGCTGCGTAGCTCGTCGACGGCGCTCGACGGACTTGAGCCCGAGGCACTGGATGGGGTGACAGCATTTGGCCAGTCCGAGCCGCTCACGCGCCGCCTCGCACACATTCTGGAGCAGTACCCCGAAGGCACGAGCGTGCTCCACGAACTCGTGCAGAACGCCGACGACGCGGGCGCGACGCGTGTGAGTGTCTGCCTCAACCTCGCCACATACGCGACGTCATCGCTCTTGAGTGCGCCCATGGCCGCGTGGCAAGGTCCCGCCTTGTACTGCGTACGCCCCCACTTTGTGGTTTCTTCCCCTTTTCATGCGTGTGGTTTGCGCTAGTACAACAACGCGGCGTTCCAGGAGCGGGACTTTATGAACCTCGCGCGCATTGGCCAAGGCAGCAAGCTCCACCGCGTCTCGACCACCGGGCGCTTTGGTCTTGGCTTCAACTCGGTGTACCATCTCACGGATTTACCGTCGATCGTGTCGGGAAGCTCGCTCGGTATCTAACGCTGCATCATATTGTGCGCTGACTCGGGTCTTCTAGTCATGTTTGACCCGCACGCGACCTTTGTGCCCAACGCGACGGCGACGCAGCCAGGCATCAAGATCAACTTTACATCCTCCAACGTCATTGCGCAGTTTCCAGACCAATTTGCGCCGTACAAGCTCTTTGGCTGCACCCTCGAGGAGCCGTGAGACCGAATTGCATCGATTGAAATCGCTCAGAGAGACGTTAGGTACCACGGGACCCTCTTCCGGTTCCCGTTCCGCACCGCGGGCGTGCACAGCGAGATCAAGCGGGCCGCGTACACGGAGCACGACATGCACGAGCTCATCACGCAGTTTCAGTCGTCGTTGGCCGCGACGATGCTTTTTCTCCGGCACGTCGAGCACATTGCGGTCTACATCAAGAATGACGACGATGGCTGTGAACCGCGCCTCTTGTACGAAGCCACCGTGCCGCCGCGCCCGTCGAACGCCCTCGACGCGTTTGCGAGCAAGGACGCGTTCTATCGCCAGTTGCAGCGTCAGGCGGCGCCGAGTATCGACCACCACGTGCTCTCGGTGACGCTCTCGGAGCCGGGCAATGCGGCGCCGCTGACAGAAACGTACCTCATGGCCATCGGCATGGGCGCGGGCAGTGCCAAGGCGATGGCGCTCCAGCACCCGGAGCTCAAGCTGATCCCATATGTGGGTATCGCGGCGCGCTTGGATGTCGTGCCAACGCTGCTCGACGGCCGTGCCTTTTGCTTTTTGCCGCTGCCCGTCAAAGTCGGTCTGCCCGTGCACGTACGTCCCTTCTCTCTAGCACGTTGAAAGAGGCATCACCATTGTATATTTTAGATCAACGGGTACTTTGAGCTCTCGTCGAACCGACGAGACATTTGGCACGGCGGTATGTCTGGCAGCGTCTTTCTGGCAGGTTTTGACGCGAATATATGGTGTAGATGACATGACGGGCGAAGGACGCATGCGCTCCGAGTGGAACAAGGCGCTACTCGTGGACGCCGTGGCGCCGACGTATCTCTCGCTCCTTCTTCACGTGCAAGCCATGGTCTCGAACGAACACTATTTGGCGCTCTTGCCGCCGCAGCGACCGCCGTCGCCGTGGTCGGCCGTCGTCGACACGCTCTACGCCCGCGTCGGCGCTCACAAACTCGTGTATTGCGAGACGTCCGGGGCATACGTGCCGTTCAACATGGTCCTCGCCTTGGACCCGGCGTTGGCCTCGGCGCGGGCGACGGAAGTGATGGAAATCCTGCGCCTGCATGGTCTCTCGTATGCGTCGTTTTCGCCGCCGTTGCACGCCCTTTTGCTGGAGAAGAACGTGCTCCTTGGAGCGACGACGCCAAGCACGTTTCGCCAGCTCGTCCACGCCGAGCGAATCCGGCTGCAGACGTTGCCACCACAGCTCGTGCCGGCGCTCGTCAAGCTCTGCGTCGACGACATTCGCGACGAGGCGCAGCTTGAGATGCTGCATGCACTGCCGCTCCTTGTGCTGCGGGACCAAAGCGTGCGGTCGATTCTTCTTCGCGGCCAAGGCGACGCGGTCTATGTCTGTTCGTCGGTCGAGCAGACGCTCCTCGAAGGCATGTGCCCGCACCTCGTGCTCAACATGGAGCTCTGCGGCAGCATTTTGCGGGCGCTTCCCGGCTTTGTGACGAGCGCGAACGTCAAGCTCTTTGATCTGCACGAGCTCGGAACGATTGCCTCGTCGCTGTTTCCGCCGGCGTGGCGTCAAAAGCCGCGTGTGCCGTTCGTCGCGCACCCGAGCCGCCCAATGGCGTGGTGGAAGGCGCTCTGGAGCTACGTGGACGACCAGATCTTGAACGGCCGCGACGTTCCGACGTCGCTATTGCAATGGCCGATCAAGCCCGTGCGCATCAACACGTCCAACACGGCGCTCATGCCGCTCGACGCCCCCGTGCTCGCGTCGCTCCAAGGGCTGCGCGGGGACCGAGACAACATCTTGGACTTTCTCAAGGACCACGACTTGTACGTGCTGGATACCTCGCTCTTCCCGAACGAGCGCTGTCCGTCGTGGATGTTATCGTCTGGCTTTGCGTTTGCGTGCGATGCGCCGGGTCTTTTGAGCCTCTTGAGTCGTGGCACGGCGATTGCAGCGATTCCGCTGCCGGTTGCACGCGCGTTTCGGGCGCTCCTGGTTGAGGCCGACTGTGCGACGCTGTCGCTGGCCAACCAGGCAACGGCGCGATCGCTACCGATTTTTGAGCTCTCGACGCTGGGCGGTGCGAGCACGCTCGTGGCCTTGGACAGCGCGACGTACCTGCTGCCGCCCCTCGGCTTTGCCTACGCGCCTCCACCGCTGCTGTCCGTGGCGTCTCTGGACGAGCGCGCCTTTTGCATTGCCGCGGGGCTGGCCCAAGTGTCGCACGACGACGCGCTCCTCGACCACGTGTTGCCGCACTTGACGTTCTTTGACGAGCATATGCAGCTCGAGCTCTTGGTCCAAGAGGTGTTTCTCCGGTACGCGAGCATGGCACCGGCCGTCCAGACGCGGCTCCGGGAGACGGTTCGCGTCCCGACGGCCGACGCGAACAGCGCGCCCCGGCTTTTGCACGAGCTCCACGACCCGACGTCCGAGGCCCTCCAAGGCCTCCTTGGACCATCCAGCTTTCCGACACCACTGCTCGCGGCGCACCTGGCCGTGATGAAGGACATGGGCCTGCAGCAGTCGATCTCGTGCCTCGCGATGCTCGAGAGTGCACGCAGCATTGAGACGGCGCCGGACGCGATGCGTGCGGCGTACCTCCTCGGCGTCGTCAACCAGCACCTCGACGCCGTGTACGCGCCCGAGAGAGACATCGAGGCCGTTGCCGCGCTCTGCGCCGTGGCGTGGCTGCCGATTCAGACGTCGCGACCCTTGGAGGTGTTGCCGTGGACGGTAGCGACAGGTGGTGTCGCGTCGCCGCGTGCCACGTGGCCCCAAGAGTGGATGGTACGTATTTATCCAGTCTATCCACATAGGATATAACGTCATGGTGTCTGTCTAGTGGTATGGCTCGGCGACCAAGTGCATTTTGAACGGTCACGTGACCTCGAACGTCTTGCGCGACGCGTGCCAATGGACGCTGTCGGCCGATGTTGTCGCGCAGCAGCTCGTGGCGATCGCCGAGCGACATGCGTCGTCGGCCGTCGTGCTCGATGACATGACGTTTTTGCACCAGCGCGTGGCCAACGTGTATGCGACGCTCGAGACATGCATTGCTGACCTGAGCGACGACGAGGGGTGGAAAGCGCCTTTGACGTCCGCGCCATGGATCTGGACCACCTCGATGCGCTTTGTTCGCGTCTGCCAAGTGGCCCACGACGGTCCCGAGCACGTCGCCCCCGTCCTCGTCACGGTCGCTGACACGCGGTACGTAGCCCTCAATTCATGATCTGTCGGCGCTAACGACGGGTCCCATTAGCGTGCCGTCGGCACTCCTTGAGGCGTTTGCAATCAAAGCAAGCTTTGACACGGACGATTACGTGCGCGCGCTGACGTTTCTGCCGCGTGATGAACCGCTGCAGGCGTCCGACATGGCGCTCGTCACGGTGCTCCTCGGTTTGCTCGAAAAATCGCCCGACAGCGTCAACAACGTTTTACTGCCGGACGCGAATGGCATTCTGGCGCCCGCGACCGAGCTCGTGGTCGATGACATGGCGTGGCACAAATCCAGTGACGCCAGTCGCGGCCGTCGGCGGTTTGTGCACCCAAGTGTGGTGCCCCAGGTCGCACTGCGCTTTGGCGCGGTCTCCAAGCACGCACTGGTGGCCAATGCGTCGTCCAACAGCGTCAAGATGATGTGTCCGCATCTCGTCGCAATCAAGGCGCATTTGCCCGAGGCCCACTACGCATCCTGGGCGACCAAGCTGCTTCGTGACATGCTCGACGTGGCCGAAGCGTTGGCGTGTCCGCGCGTCGATGTGGTCGTGGATATGCGGGTGCATGCCGACCAAAAGGTATGTCGGCCGTCGTTCCAGGCGCTGCAACGCGACGCGATTGTGTTTCATTTGCACGACGTCCATGTGCAGCCGGAGACGCTCTTTCTCAAGTACGGCAAAGGCTCGGCGGGTCTCCTATCCGGTCTCTTTGTGAGCGACTGCGTCCAAGTGCTGAGCGGCACGGACTTTTACGTCATCGATCCGAGTGGCACGTACCTCGAGCAGGCGTCGACGCTGCGCTACAACACGCAAACGCCCGAGTTTGCAAGCTTCTCGGACCAGCTCGCGCCGTTTGTGTCGTTGCCGTCGCGCCAAAGCGGCACGATTGTGCGCTGTCCGCTGCGCACGACGCCCGATTCCAAGCTGCGGCCGGCGCTGACACGCCACGACGTCGACATGTTTCTTACGACGGCCACTGCATTTGCACCGACATCGGTGCTCTTTTCGTCCTACTTGCGCCAGTTGAGCCTGTGGCATTTGACGCCGGAGGTCCGGACGTGTACGATCGACGTCGCGTTACAAAACGCAGACCGCGTCTTGAGTCAACGCCTCTCGCTGCTCCAGGACGACGAGTGGCGCAAGCCCAAGCCGACGGGCCTCTTTGGCAACGTCTTTAAGCGCTCCATGACGCTGCCCGTTGCGATCTCGGACGTGGCGATCCAAGTCACCGCGCAGAAAGATGTGGCCGTGCACCACTGGTGTGTGAGTGCCAACGTGGCTGTGGGCCGGACCCAGGACTTGGCGAAATCGGTGCCATCGCTCTCGCCGCACGCGTCGGTGGCGCATCTTGTGCGCACGACGGGCAGCGCGACCGTACCGCGCATCCGTGGCCAGCTGTTTGCCCCGTTTGCCACGGACGTTTACACGGGGCTTCCCGTGCACGTGCACGCTGGCTTTGGCCTGGACGCGCCGTCGCTCCACGTGCCTGTGCGGGGTCTGGGTACGACTCGATGCTTTAGGGGTCCTATGTGTGCTACTGCTGCTGTAGGGCCCAAGAACCATGCGATGGACGAGTGGAACCTCGCACTCTTGGAAGACGCGGTCACGGAAGCCTATGTGCAGCTGCTGAGCACGCTCAAGGCCAACGCCATTGCCGCGGTACCTCTCTCAACGTATATTGTGTCGCATACGATGTGATGTACATTAGAACGTGCCGCGGTTGCTCTATGGTGCATGGCCCGCCCTGCGTCGCTCGACGGAACTCGGCCGACTGGTGCAGCGCAGCATGCACCCCAAGCTGTCGCAACTCGAGCTCTTCTTGTGTGGCGATGGCAGCTACCGCCGCCTCACGGAGGGCTATTTCATGGAGCCGAGCATGCCGCTGCAAGTCGCGGCGTATGCGCGTCTGCACTTTCCCATGTTTACCGTGCCGTCCAGCGTCATGACTGCGACCACGTCGATGCAGTCGACGCCGCGCCTCTTCACACCGCGTGTCCTTCGCGAATGGCTCAAGCGCGTCGCGGCCTCGTCGCTGCATGTCGGGCTGTGCCACGACCTGCTCGCCTACTGCTTGCGCGATTTGACGCCCATGACGTACGGTGAGCTCGCGGGACTGCCCGTCCTCGCGCTGGCCGACGGATCGGTCGGCACGGTGCCGAAAGCCAGTCTCTTTTCAGCCATTGCGGCCGAGCCGTTTATTGTTGCGACGCTCGACCAGCAGTTGCTCTTGCCGAGCATGCGCACCCGGTTCCTCGCTCTCGAGTTTTGTCGGGCGTTTGATTTGACGAACGTGCGTTTGATCAACGCACTGGGCGCGGTGCCGTTTTCCGTGACCTTTCTTGCGCAGCACATTGCGAGCGAGCTTCCGCCAGCGTGGCGCAACAAGGACCGCGTCGTGTGGTCGCCATCCCAAGACGTCGGCGTCTCTGCGCTCTGGCTCGGACGATTTTGGAAGGAAGTCGGCAAGAAGGAGCATGTCCAGCTCTTTCATGCATGGCCACTGCTCCCGATTGCCGGCAAGCACGAGCTGCTTCGGTGCCGCTACATGGACGACGTCCTCGTGCTCACGCCCGGCAGCGCGAGTTTGGACCTTGCGGCATCGATCGCGCATCAGCGTCAGGTTGCGATCGCGGACGATGACGCGCAGCATGCTGCGTACCTCCACGAACGCCATGTCATGGACGCGCTGGCCAAGCAAGAACTTCATTTGGACGACGACGAGGAAGAAGAAGAAGGCGAGGGGGAGGCAGACGACGAAGCCAAGGACCTCAACGTCCCCGGGTCGGAGGTGGCGGTCGACGCCAGTGAGATTTCGTTGGAGGTCGACGACGAGGCCGCGAATCTGGCGGCGCATGACGCGACGGTCGTCGAAGAAGATGCCGCCGTCGTCTCCGAGTCGGAAGGCACGCGGCGGCTGCACCCGCTCTTGGCGCGCCTCGACGTTCCGATTCTCGAGCTTGGCTTTGTCCCCGAGGCGCAGCACCACGAGTGGCTCGTCCGGCCCCGTGACGCGGCGCTCATGATCCTCTCGGGTCTCTCCAAGTGGTCCCAAGCGGGTCGATTGCAATGGCCAACGGCGTCGCAAGCCGACCGCGAAGAGCTTGTCGCGTACTTTGCCGACCACGGAACGCTTTACGGCGGCTTCAACCAGCGCCGAAAGGACCAGCTCCGGGGTCTCCCACTGTATTACTCGCTCTTGGGCGACGAGTGCATTCTGAGCCACGACACGTACTACCTTGTCGACGAGTCTGTCGCGGGGTTTCCGGCGTACCTCCCCGAGCACACGAAGCAGTCGTTTCTGCACGTGCCTCGGCCGTCGCTCCTCTCGTTCTTCAAGGAACTCGATGTCGAATGCCTGACCGAAGCCGACATGGTCGCCAAGTTTGTGGTCGATCGATTCGACGCGTTTGATGTGGTCCAGCGCACCGCGCTCCTCGACACGATCCAGCGCAAGTGGCCGATCTTCCAGCGAAATGCGTCCCTGGTTGCATTTCTGCAGACGACGCCGCTCTTTCCAACGCGCGATGGTTTGATTGTGCCGGCGTCAACGCTGCTCGACCCGACACACGCGGTCTTGGCGTCGATCTTGTTGCCGTCGTTCCCTGAGTCGTTTCCGACGCCCGAGTACGCGACGCCTGCGTGGCTCGACATTTTGCACGCGCTTGGTATGACCCATGAGCTCTCGACGACGGTCTTTGCGCGCTGTGCGAACCACGTGGCGTCGTGGCCGACCCCGCTCTCGTCCGAGCACGAAGCCGGCGCGCTGGCGCTTCATGAAGCTTTTGCTCGTCACTACGACAAGTACGAGCGCGCACGATCCTTCCTCGAGGAGCTTGCCTCGATTGCGTTTGTACCGGCGATCGAGCATTCGCTAAGTGGCCCCGACCGCACCATCTTGGCTCGGTACAGCGACTGCGCCGTGCCGTCGGACGAAGCTGTCGTCTTCTTCGCCAAGCCCATTGTACTGGCCTACGCGGTGCCACCCCGCGTGCTCTGGCGCCGCCTTGACGTCGTCTCGCCGCCACCAGCCACCGATGTGCTTCTGACGCTGGAGCGTGTGACGAGCGACGCCACCGTGCTCGACGACTGGTCGCACGCCATGTCCGTCTCGGAGCTCTTTCAAAAGCTGTTTGCGTACTGTGATGCGCACTGGGACAAGCTTGGACACGCGATGCAGACGCGCCTCTGCGAGTTGCCCTTGCTGCCGATTGGCACGCGCTTCGTCAAGGCAAGTCGCGTCTACGTGCGCCTCCCGGAGAATCTCGCACCGTTCCTCTTTGAAGTGCCCCGCGCCTTTGGCGCCTACGACCATTTGTTTGCGCGCCTCGGCACGAAAGAGTCGCCGTCCGCCAACGACTATGCGCAGCTCCTCGCCGAACTCGCGACCGAGTGTATGGTGCTCAACCTCAACGAGCTCCGTGCCGTCGTCAAGATTGTGGCGTTGGTTGCCGAGACGGAGCTGACGCTCTCGTATCCGCTCATGCTGCCGACGACCACGCACGAGCTCGTGCCATTGCACGTGTGCGTCGCCAACGATGCGACCGCGCGCCGGCTTGCAGTCCGCATGCACATGCAACTCGCCTCGATCCACGTCGTCCATGGCATGGTCAGCGACTCGGTTGTGCGCGCGCTTCACGTGCCGAGCCTCCTCGACCTCGTGGTCGAAGAGCTATGTCCAGGGGAAGTCTTGACGCCAACGATCGAGACGTCGGCGATGACGGCCGTCTTGCGCTCGGATGCCTTTGGTCGTGGCCTCGCCTCCGTGTGCGTCGGCAGTGAAGACGACATGGTCGTGCGTTTCCGCGAGCACGGAATCTATGCTGTCGAGACGCTGTCTACGCGTCTCTACTTGCGCAACGGCCGTGTCGATGTGACGAAAGATACATCGAGCCTCTGTTTCATTGACGAGGCGACCAAGGTGCTCTACGTGACGACACCCGGGTCGCTGAGCCTCGCGCAAGTTGTTGCGCTCTGCATTCAACGGTCGATGCCGCACGCACTGCTCGACTGCTCGCCCGTCGTCGCGATGTTGGAAAGCACGGACATTCCGCAGACGCTCCAGTACCTCGGTGTTGGAAGTCGTCGGGTCTTGCAAGCGCGGGGTGTGCCTGGCGCGCCGCTCTGCGACGTGGACATGCGCGCCCTCGAGCTCAAGCCGCTGCGATCGTTCTTGCCGGGCGAGGTCGTGGCGATCGAAGGAAGCAACCACGAGCATGTCTACGCGACAGTTGTCGCCGAACAAACCACCTTTGGGCTCAAGCAAGTCCAGTTGTGCGTCGACACCAAGCATACGACCAAGTGGCTGCCATCGACCCAAGTGTTTTCGTTTCAATCGGTGCGCCAGGCGTCAACGACGACCTCGGCGGCCACGTTGACGACGACGGCAGTGCAGTCGGCGGCTGTGACGTCGGTGCCGTCGTCGACGCCATCGCTGCCCATCTCGGAGACGCAGGTGCTCGACGCGGTCAACGAGCTCCTCGGGCGCGTCAACATGAGTCTCAGCGCGCCGTACGAAGCACTCGTGCAAGAGACGCTGCGGCTCAAGCAGCGGTTGGCGCATGCGGAGGAGAGCTACCGCGCCGCGTCCGAGCGCATTGAGGAAGCGCTGGTCGAGAAGAAGGAAGTGCTCGAGGCCATGACGTGCTCGGTCTGCTTTGAGAACGACGTCAACCGCGTGCTTGTCCCGTGCGGCCACGTGTTTTGCAGCGCGTGCGTCGGCCGGTTCCCGCGCAACAAGTGCCCGACGTGCCGCCATGACATTTCGACCCATTGCGCCTTCCACAAGCCGTACTAAACCTCTTCTTGATAGCTTGATACGTTGTGAATATTCGCCTTTTTGTATTTTGGACGTTCCGACTTGGAATCCGACTTGGAATTTCGGCTTTTCTTATTTCGACGCGTCGGATTTCAGCTTTTCTTTGGCGTCAAATTCTTGGACGAGCTTGAGGAATTGCGCCTTCTTGGCGTCGATCTCGTCCTTGTGCTTGGCGGTCGCTTGCTCGGCCAGCGTCTTGAGCAGCGGCGTATCCCGCGCCATCTCCTGGTCCTTGCCCTCGCGGTAGCCCTCGACAAAGCCCATGACGGTGAGCCGCCCCACGAGGAGCTTGTCGATGACCCACTCTTCCAGTTCCCGCTTGACGTCGACGACCTTGCGCTGCTTGAGCGACGACACGGCGTCGGCAACGTGCTCGGGTATTCTCTCCACGTCGAGTGCTTGCGCTTGGGTCTTCATCTCTGCCGCATGCTTCTTGGCCTCGCCTTGCATGACGACGAGCTTCTCCGAGACCTGTCCGCTCCACGTGTCGATCTCCGCCTTGAGCTCGGGGTGATGCGTCGCGAGATGCGTGTCGACGGTGCTCTTGACCTCGTGGCCCTTGGCAGAGAGCGCCGCCGTGAGATCCTTGGACGACGATGACGCCGCGTTCTCCGGGCTAAACGATCCCTTGTACTGTGCCCAGGCCTCGCGCCATAGTCGGCGGTGGTCGGCCAGCGTCAATGTCCAAAGGTCCACAAACTGGTTCTTCGCCTCGGCCTTCTTCTCTTCGTCTGTTAGCGGCGGCGGCGGCAAGCCAGGCATGACATCCAGCAGCCAAGCGTTCAGCAGCCGCGACCGCGTCTGTATCACGTACAAGGTCGCCTGCAGCGGCGAGAGCCCGCGGGGCCGCGGTGGCAGCGCTTGCTTGGCCTTGCGCAGCATCGGCCCGAATCCGCCGCTTGCGATTGGTGTAAATATCGCACCTAATCGGGTCGTACCTATAGGCGTTTATAACACTAATAAAGATGCATATAAATGGTGTGCTGGCACGGTATCCGGACGATCTTGGAGAGTCACGGGAGTTTAGTGTAGCCGCGATGGCGACCAAGGCCAAGCCGAGCAACAACAATGGCGCAAAGCTAATCAAGCACAAGTCGCTGACCGACGACGACCTCCTCAAGCTTGAGAAGATGGAGCTCTCGGACGACGAAGATGACTTTCAGTACACGAACGTCGACGTGCTCGACGACGACGAGGACGACGACGAAGAGGATTTCCAAACCGTCCTGCGCAATCTCAACAAGGCGCCCGAAGCGACCGACGCCGTGGTTGAGAAGGCGCCGTCGCCAATCCAGAAAGGCAACCATTTGCTTGCAGCGCCGGCGCGGCCCATGGCCACGAGCACCCAAGTCCGCCCGTCGGTCGTCGACGACTTCATCCGCAACTTTCTCATCAAGATTGCCATGCCACGCACGCTCGACACGTTCAACACCGAGTGGTACGAGCTCATGGCCAAAGGCAAGCTCAAGGAAGAGGACATTGGCGTCGTGCCGGACATCTACCTGCGCAACCAAGCGCTCGACGACCAAGTTTGTGCACCGCGATGCGATGGCTGAGGACGATGTGCGATCGTAGGTCAAGGCCTTGCGCAAGCAGCTCGACGAAACCAAGAAAATCACGGAAAAGGCCAAAGGTGGCTCAAAGTTTAGATACGTAGTCGTCTTTTTGTACTACGAGGTTCGTTTCTTAGGGACCTGGGACAAGTTTCGCCATCAGCGCGACGTGCACAAGATGCACCACCAGCGCGTCGTTCAGGAAAAGAACCTCCTCATGGACAAGATCAAGAAGCTTCGCAAGAACATCGCTGCGTACGAGCCGCTCCTCGCCGAGCTTCGGTCCAAGTACGAAGTCGCGATGAAGGAGAAGATGCTCATGCGCCTCGAGCGCGACCGCTGCATGGCCAAAGCCGACGCTTTGGTACGTCCTTACCATTTCACAAAGCATGTGCGTGCGTCCTAAATGATGCAACAGGAGGCCCAAGTGCGCGCACTCGAGCAAAAGGACTCCAAGTCCTCCAACTCCAAGACATCGCCGGCCAAGTCGGTCCTCGGTACCAAGAAGAAGAAGACGGACACCAAGCTGCCGGCCGAGAACGCCGTCAACCCGAACGCCGATAAGCGCTTTGACCCGATCCAGATCAAGCGCGTCGAGCTCGTCAAGACGTTCCAGGGCCACCTCAACTCGATCGCCGCCGTGGCCTTCCACCCCAAGAACCCCGTGCTGGCGACGGTCTCGGACGACGAGACGTGGAAGCTCTGGTCGATGCCCAACTGCGAACTCATCATGAGCGGCGAAGGGCACCGCGATTGGATCGCCAACGTCGAGTTCCACCCGCGTGGAACGCACATTGCAACGTCCTCGGGCGACAATACCGTCAAGATTTGGGACTTTGTCTCAGCCTCGTGCACGCTGACGCTGCAAGACCACGCGCACCCGGTTGGTAGTGGCGTCTCGATACGATTGGACAATATTGTCTAGGTGTGGGAAAGCGCGTTTCACCACGAAGGGGACTTTTTAGCGTCGTGCTCGATGGACCACACGTGCAAATTGTGGGATCTCGCGACGGGCAAGTGCCGCAAAACGTTCCGTGGCCACGTCGACTCGGTCAACAGCGTGTGCTTTCAGCCGTACACGGTCAACATCTGCACCGGGTCAGGCGACAAGACCATCTCGATCTGGGACATTCGGTACCACTTCTTATTCTCTTTTTTCATCTGCGATCGTGCAAGAACGATATATTGATATATTGATATATTTTAGGTCGGGGCTCTGCGTGCAGACCTTTTATGGCCACCAAAACACGTGCAACAGCGTCGCGTTCTCCATCACGGGCGATACGATCGCGTCCTGCGACGCGGACGGCTTTATCAAGCTCTGGGACGTGCGCATGGTGGCCGAGCGCGCGACCATTGACGGCGGCCAGCAGCCGCTCAACAGTGTCGCCTTTGACAAGAGCGGTGCTGTCGTTGCCGCGGCGAGCGACGACGGTACCATCAAGATGTGCAATGCCAAGACGTTCGAGTTCATCTCGGAGCTCCGAGGCCACAACGGCCCCGTCCAGGTACTGTATCGCAATTGGTTTCTTTTCTTGTATTTTCTTGTATCTTGTATTTTCTTGTATTTTTCTCATCATGTACGTGGTTTCTAGTCGGTCAAGTTTGATCCGGTCGGACGGTACATGGCGAGTGCGAGCTCCGACTGCACGTTCCGTCTCTGGACGTAATCCTACCTTGATGAACGCGACAATTGTGTACATAATTGTCATATGTCAACGACCGAGGTTACGGCGAGGCCACCGGCGCGCTGCGCAGCTTCTGATACCACTTTGGCGCCATCGCAGGTGTCGCTGGCTCGGTCGTCTTGGGTGGCGACGTCGCGTCGACGGGTGCTGCTGCACGTGCGAGCTTTTGTGTGTGTGCAGCACCATGGTCTTTAACGTGTCGAGTTCATGGCGGCGGCTGAGCAGTTGCTGAAGCTGCGCTTGCAGCGAGAGCTTGGCGTGGAGGAGATCGTTGGCGTCGGCTTGTTGTTGCTGCAGCGCCGCTTGCAACTGCGTAACCTGGTTTTGCCGCGCCTGGACCTCGTCTTGAAGTCCCTTGAGCTTTTCAATCTACGACATTCTCGAAAATCAATGCCTGCGAGGGGAAGAAGATAGATGTACGAGGTATTCCTGTGGCTGGTGCATGTGGGCCAGTTGGCGTTGCGCAGCGTCGAGCTCGCGAGCGACTTGGTCCCGCGCGCTCTCCAGCGAGGCGTACTCGCTCTTCATGCGCTGGATCGTCTGTTCACACTGGACAACTTTCTGAGCGAGCTGCACGCTCTGTTGAAACTATCCAAAACATATCAATCCACAACTTGATACATTGCAACAACAAAGACGAACGCGTCGTTTTGGAGCCGTCGGGATCATGGCAAACGTTGACGCCGTCGCGTCATCGGTGGGTTCCGGAAGTGCACCCGCTTGAAGAATCGCGTGGTCCATGTCGACTTCCAACGTTTCGTACGCGCGGAGCTTGTCGCGCTAGATCCATACACTTGATATTTTGATACCAATCGATCCTACGAACGTAGCTCGCCACGTCAAGTCGCAGCTGCGCCATCTCCTTGGCCGACTGCATCTCGAGTTTTTGAAATTCTGCCTTGTGGACGTCGACCTGCACCGACTTTGAGACAGGTTGTTTGCGATTCAAGGTACCTTTTGCTTGAGCATGTCGACTTCCAAGTGCGCGAGCTGGAGGTGCTGGGATTTCTCTTCATAGTTGCGGCTCAATTGCGCGAGCTACAGGTGTCTTTCCTATCATGCGAATCGGAACCGCGCGCACCTCGAAATGTTTGATCTTGAGCTCGTTGCGCACTTCGGCGACGCTGGTCGTAAACTGCGCATCGAGGCGCGTGAGCTCGAGCACCTTGTCTTCGTACGCGCGCTGGAGGTCGGCAAAGCGCTTGTTTGCATGCTCGAGCTGCTGCTGCGCGTCCTGGCGGGCGTCGCGCAGCATTCGGTTCTCGCGTTCAAAGAGCGTCTTGCCGCTGTCCCGCAAAGCGTCCATCTCCTTCTTCGCCACGTCTTGGAGCTTCGTGAGCTCCACGTGCATGCGGTGCTGGCATATGTATCAAGTAATTTGCTTGCATGGTTAGTACGTGTACCTCGAACACCTCGAACAAGGTCTTGCTTTCTTCCCTGGCGTCGTTGACTTGCTGTAGAAAGGTCTCTTTCGAGAGCTCGAGACGGCGCACGGTGGCCTGCGTGCTTTGCAGCTCGTCCCGGAGCTGCCGAACCTTGTCTTCATGGCGTGCGTTGTCCTTTGCTAGGTACTCCTTGTCGACGAGCACCAGCGACAGCTTTTGCTCGATCTGCTCCTTCTCCATCTACACGACCCCATAAAAGACAAGGTGTCTCATTTACACAGGACCTTGCTCGCGTCGCGCGCTTGTACGGCAAGCGCCAGCTGCGCCTCAAGCTCGCGAAGCTGGGACGCGACGGCCTCCGGCACGCCTGGTGCAGGTGTCGCCGGCGTGCGCAGGGCGTTGAGCTCCTGCACGTTGGCGTGGAGCTGCTTGACTTGTCGCTCGAGTTCGGTCCGCGTCGTCTCGGACAGTTCCAGCTCGCGTTGCACCGCGTCGTACTTGCGCTGCCATGTGCGTTGCTCGGCCTGGCATGCGTTGGACTTGGCTTCGAGGCTGGTGTTGGCCTCTGTCAGCGACGCGACGTGGCGGTTGGCTGCCTCCGTGGCCGCGATCGCCGGCTCGACGAGCTCGAACGCCTTCATTTGAACAAATTCGACCAGCGTGAGAGCGTCGTGGCTCTGGCGCTGGAGCTACAGGCCATTGGTCTGCGATTGCAGCGTCGGCGATTCCGTCACCAGTACCTGCTTTGCGAAAGGTTCGGGAATGCGCAAGTCGAAAAACTGAGCTTTCTCCGCTTTGAGTCGATGCTCGAGGATGCGAAGCTGTGTCTCCAATGCTGTCTTCTCGGTCTGTAGCTGGCTCGCCTCGTTGCGATACCGCACCTAATACAGATAGGCCATGCAGTCGTCCAATATACGACATGGAGACGCACTTGAAGCGAGGCAAGCGAATCTTGGAAAGACCTTCGCTCGGTGCTCAGCGCGGCCTGCGCTTGCTTCTTTTCTTCAAGCGCAATCGCGAGCTGACCGCGAACCTTGTCGACTTGGATCTCGTAGAATCGACGCATGGTCTCGTCCGTGCGGTGTGGCACGCCGGACCGAGGCGGTAGCTTCGTGGGTAGCGCTGTGCGCAGCGCCAGGTCAAACGACTGGGCGACGTTGCGAGGCGGCGCGGGCGATGCGGCAGGCGTCGACATGGGCGTGTTGTCGAACGAGTGCGGCAGCGAGAGCGAGCTGCTGTCGTCGCTGCGGTGGCCGTCGCTGCTCGAGTTGACGTTGCGCCGCAGCCCGAGCTGCGAGGCCAGCCAGTCGGCGGACATTCTCGCTGCTGCTGCTGTGGCCATCGCGGTCTTCGTCATCGTCGAGGTCGTCGAGGTTCATCGACGTGGCCGATGGGGCCTTGGATGCTGCGGATGCCATGATGTTCGAAAATCTTGGATTTGATTCTGACGCCTTGGATTGGTCAAAAGTCACGACGCAGGATTGGCTTATTTTGGCTAGCCGTAGACACGTTTGATTGGACATGCCAAGGATCGATGAAACGGATTGGCTGAAGCAAGGGCATATTTATTTACCCTTGGCTGAATATCGAAGACCTCTTCGTGCATAAATATGTATATCAAGCAGACTCGTGGCCCTTGTCGCTGTAGCTGTTGGCAGCAATCGTATTGTCGTATTGAAAGAATGGCGTTTGAGATTCTGGGGCGCACGGCTTGGGTTTATCGTGTGTGGTTGGCTCTCGCGGTATCTTGCTCTGACTTCGCGGCCCCTAACCTTGAAGGAGACAAAGTTCGATGGGATAATGTCAAACACCGGTACAGGTAATGGCTCGAACCAAGCATGTTAGATGATGTTAGTTACCCATGTTCCATCAGTCGCTGCCAAGATGGTCAAAATCGCGGTCTCTCGATTCCATTGTTGGAAGCCTTCGATCAGCATGTCGTTGAAGGCACAAAATGTGCCTCACTGGCTTGGTGTTTTATCCTTATCCGGAATTTTGTTGCCCGGTCTGGTGCTCGGCCGTTTGTCGATCTCATTTCAACTTCGACTTTAAAACTAAGTCTCTTGTTTCGATCTATATGAATAGAGAAAGGCCCAAGGAGCCCAAAAACATAAGAATAGTGCTCGTAGCGTGCTTACAGCGTGTGCTATGCGCCGTTCAAGTGGCTCACGAAACGCAGTTTCAATGTATCAGTGTATCAATCGACGTTGTTGTGCAAACGCGGCTGGCGCACGCTGTAGGTACATTTTTGGTTTTTGGGCTTCCTGCTGAGCGTGCTACAATGGTATGCACCGATGCACCGCATTCGAGGGCTATCCAATCATGCAAACGGGGCCGAAAATGGTAGCAAACCGAGCTTGGCCATGGGACGAGCTTGAAGCGTAGAGGCGCTGCAGGACGCCAGTGCAATTCGTTTCCACACGTTCGGAGCTACGTAAAGCCATCTTGTGAGCGGATACAACGTTGCCGTTGCTGTGGTTGCGACGCGAGTCGTATTTAACGCAGAAAGAGCTTCTTTCGGAAGAGCGCCCAGATTCGCCGCAGCTGCTCGCGACAACTTGCAGTCTTGCCGGCGCCGAACAAGATGGTGCGACTGAGCACATAAGAAGCTATGTCTTGTTCCCACGAGTACATCTTGCAAGCAACGTACTAGTAGTGCTGAGAAGAAGCCCCGTCTCAATCTACCTGAACGGTTTTGACGACCAAGTCGAGGCCATCCTGCTCGATAAGCCATGCCTACCTTCAACGGCACTGTCTCTTAGCACGGTATTGCATTCCTGCAGCCTCGATCTCAGGGTCGCTCGTCGCGCTTGGCGCCTAGAGCTCCCAACGTGTATATAAATCTTTATGCGTAAAAAGAAAACAAGGAATATCACTATCTATGCACTAGACTATAACCTATGTACTCGACGATTAGTACGAAGTGTAGTACGCCTCTGTTGGATGGCATCCTCGCACGGCCGGTTTGTTGATGCACACTCGCATTTCGCTGCCTGCGCTGCTCGCATCCCTCTTTTTGTCACAAAAACGCACGACGTCTCCCACTTGACAACTGTATGATAAAAACTTCGATTGCTTTACTTCGAGGCCGTTCCCTGCTCTGCCATTTTTGATCGAAAGACGATGGCCAACGAGGTCGCGGCCTCCTCCAGCAGCAGCGCCGACGACGCAGCGCTCCTGCACAAGAAGGCCAAGAAGCGAATGTACGACCGGCGCCAGCAGATGAAGAAGCGCGCCGAGCTCAGCCGGCTCCAAGCGCTCGTGACCGACCTCGAGGGCCAGTCCGAGAAGCTCCAGTACCTTCGGAAGGGCCTCCTGCCGTGGAAAGACGTGGCGATCGCACTCAGCCGTGAGTCGATGCTCGCGATCGACGCCAATGTGAGCCTGAAGCAGAACATCCGCCACTACGAGCGGCTCGCGGCCCACCTCTCGAAATGGGTCTACGACATGACGGCCATCAGCGTACGCTCATGTGTCCTCATGATGCATGGCCTCATGCACGCTTGTAGCGCGCGCCGCCGTCGCTCGCGGTTGCGTGTCGCCAGACATCGCTGCCCATGCGCGATGCGTCCCGCCACTTGGGCTTCGACTGGATCACGCGGCAGCTCTTTTACAATATGCCCCGCTTCCTCGACGAGAGCAAGCTGCCGGTCTCGCTCGAGCCGTACTTCTCGGTGGACATTGCGCCTGTCGACGACACGTACCTCATGACGAGCTACCACCAGCGCGTCGAGGACGTCACGCTGCAAGAGATGCGCGCGTACCTGCTCTCGTCCGTGTTGCACATGCCCGGCTACGACCTGGTACCGTTCCATGACACTGAAACTGCAAGTCCAAATGGCGTGTTTTTAGACGCTCGACGAGACCGACCACGATATGGTCTATCGACGCTACCAGGTGCCCTACTGCAGCGGCCAAGCCCACTACTACGAAAACACACTCATGCGCGAATTCGTCGAAGAGAACCGTGTGACCATGGTCGTCCAGACAGTCTCGGAAGATGAAAAGTACCCCAACCAAGACGTCCGGCGCGACTGGCTGCAATGGTGCTACATGCATTCAAGTTGCGTGTTATCTGACAGAAGATGCGGTAGGGTCGTGGCCGAGCGCGTAAGTCCAACGCAAACCGTCATGAAGCTCGGGACGGTCGCCACCGGCGTGCGCGATGGCAACGGCTTCTTGCCCGTCGAGACGACGTCGACGTTCCGGAACGAGCTCATTGGCATCTCGGACCCGATCGTGCGCGACGATGTGTACCGCCGCTGTGTGCGCGAGCACGTGCACCGCAGCCACGCAGCCGACGTGGCTGAGTTCCAAGCCTTTCTGCGGCAGCACCGCTGTCGGTCGTTGCAGTAGGGTTGGGTGTACTGCTATCTGTCGTCTGTCGTGTATGAATTCCAGTTGTTTATTGTCATTGACGTCAGTGGAAGGAAGAATATTGTGGATGCAAACTGTGGCCGCTGTCGTTTGAGTTTAGGGTTCAGGGTGCGTTTGGTGAGTGCGTCCGCGGAAATGTCGATGCCACGAGGATAAGTTGTCGGTTGTGTACTAGTCGACACAGGGGTACATAATAGTATGTACCCCTGAGTCGACAGTACCAACTTGCCAAAGAATTGAGGTCCTTATCGATACGGTAGCTACCTCGTAGTCCTTGGAAAGGCTAGTAGAGCCAAGCTCAAGTCAGCGTTCTGACGCAGATATCAGCTACGACGAGGCGGACGAAACATCAATTGCGAACTTTTGACGGCTTCTACAGCTGTCGCCGCCGTCATCGTTGGTAGGTGATCGCGCAGGAATCAGAGGGAAGCGAAACGCATCATTATCCAACCCTCGTCTATTCACCTTGGTACCTGACATCGCTCGCACGCTACCCATGTACACCCATGGCTCCATGATAGTACGGTGGACGACACATGAGTCCACGAAGGTAGCGGTGATGGCCCGGGGTGATTTGCATGCAATCTCTTGGGTCCTGATCGGCCAAGAACGTACGGATCCACCAAGCAGTGACTTGAACTGCAAAGCGGTAGGACCTAGGTATAATATCTTCTTCGATGTCGACTTGACCATCACGTGCATGTCCCCTTCTGCTCGCTTCTACATTTGGTACCACAGGCATCTTCGGTGCAACGTTTCTGTCGCATCTTGTTCCAAGCGCTTGCGTACGTGGACGGGACAGCTCGTCTCTCTACTGCGCAGTACAGTAGTATCCGAGTAGGACCGGTATCCATCTCACGTAAGCGGCGGTTGTTTACTCCTTCGCTCATTCTTGCAAGAGAAGTCGATGGTTGAAACAAATGCGGCATACAAAACGAAGCTGCGATTTTTTAAGTTATAGAGTTGGCCGAGATTAGGGATGTGGTTGCTGTTGACGCGCGAGGCGCTCGCGCATGTTGAGGACGATTTGCTTTTGTGTCTCGATCGACGACTGCATGCGCTCAAAAAACGGGTCGTCGAGCGTCTTGGTGGCCGCGACAACCGCGGTCACGGTCGGCTCGTTGGCAGTCGTTGGCACCTCCCGTCGACTCAACCCCGGCGACGTATGATGCAATCCCGAGGCGACAAGAGTGTTTTCGCCCGTCAGCGCATGCGCCTTGGACCGACGCGGCCGCTCCGAGTGTGCGAGCTGCTGCGCCATATTTGTCTTGTGGCTCGGCGAGTGTACCACGGCATAGCTCGGCTGGCGGGCGCTGCCGACAAAGCACCGTTTGCAGTAGTCGTCTTTGGACACGAACGGCGCGAGCTTGGTCACGAGCGGTCGCGGCACTTGTACGATGCAGTGCGCGCACATGACGTCGCCGCACGCGCGGCAGTTGTACCGGGCCTTCAAGCCCGAGATCTTCGTGTCGCAGGCCACACAGCGGCCGTGGTCTTGGTGCCTTTTGGCCGGCCCGTCGGCCGCGACGCGTAGCAAGAGCCGCTTTTGCTGCAAGAAGCGAGGGAACTTGTGGCAGAGACCGCCGTACTTGATCATGTGCTTGTTGAAGAGGAAGGCGGGTACGACGCCGCCGGGGTTCATGAATGCAAGGTGCATGGAGGCGACGTCGCCCGACGGCATCTCGGTGTAGACAAAGATCGCCTTGATGTACATCCGGACAACGTGCGGTTGCACCGGGTAGCCTTCGAGGTAGCTCGAGTCGCGCACGATGAGCAGTGTCCGGTGGCCGGCCGCGTCCACCGCCGTCGCCATGTACTAGACGGCATTGTCAACTCCTTTGACGGTGCCAGCTAGTATGGTATACCTCAAAGTAGACGATGTCGCGGCCGTCGGTAAAGCCACTGCCCGGGATGTTGAGCTTCTTGTACTTGACGCCAAACCACTGGAACGGGTCGCGGGTCGAGGCGGTCACCGATGTGTGCAAGATGGCAGCGTCGCGAAAGTCGTCGCCGTAGTACAAGGCCATTTCGACGCGGAATGCGTCGTTGGACGACGCGTGCTGGAGCTCACCCACCTCGTCCAAGCGCATCGGCAGCGTGTTGAGCACGAGGAGCTCGTTGAAGGACGAGTTGTCGGCGCGCCGCGTGTAGACGCGGCCGATTTTGGTGCTGGCGAGCTTGAAGCCGTCGTCAACCGCTTGCGTGTCGCGCGAGATGGGAGGGCACTGTCGGGCCATGTAGTCCAACGCGGTCGCCTGCATCTCGGCTTGGATGCGCAGCGCCTCGCTGCCCTCGACATGCCACTCCATAGTCTCGTTGTTCAAATGCAAAAATGTGCCCCTGCGTCAAAGGGCAACTTGCGTTGGAAAGTGCAATTTCGCGAAACCAGCTGGTCCTGCACCGTGTATTTTTTTCGGGAGCGCGTCTGGTCGGACGCGCTGTTGCATCAACATTGTCTAGTACACCCCGCGACTGTACGAACGACTATGGTGGTGGATGGACTTGGCCTCACGTGGACGCCGCCCGCGTCTTTGCTCTGGGTGGCCAAGGACAGACCGAATACACTATGACCTCGAGGGCCTTCGTTCCAAGCTTCTACAGTGTAGGATGCGGGTAAGACGCAAGTAGCCGTGGCGCAATCCGCAGAGGCCTGTGTTCGTTCGGAGGAACGAGTAGCTCGAGGATGAGATGCCGGCGTCGAGAGCTTTGGTGAAATCGATTACAGTACTGCACCTGGCGTACGAGGCAGTGGATGATGCCATCTTGGTCCAGGTGCGAGACGTAGAATGGGATGTTGCAGTTGTGCCCACATAAGACACATGGAATACGCCAAGCTAGTAGTATGGGGCACGACGCGAGCGACCTGGGCGCCGTGTGCAGAGATAGTCGACGTTTCGGCTTCGTCTCACGCGCCCTCACGTTATCAGACGCCTCTGTCGAGTTACTCGCTGCTTACTGATATCGTTTCTTCTGGATGCACGCGCCGTCCATCGCATAAGACTGCGAGTGCATTCGCACGAGACCGAGCAAGGTTCACCAGCAGCGTCGAGCCCACCATTTTGTCCTTGCTTTGCTTTCTAGAAAGGCAACCGGACGGATGCCATTCCTTGTACCACTCACTCGTCTTTGAGTGCGCTCGCCTTTCAACGACCTCATAACTTCCTACTAGTACTTGGTACTAGAGTACGACAACTCGTCGGTCGATGCTACATTTCTCCATCTCTCGTGGCCGATATCGCAGGTTCACGAGTCGAGCCCCATGGCGGCACCTGCCTCGACAGCTCGGTGCACGACTATTTACACACCTACTTTCCCAAACGCTTCGCCCATGCTTCGAACCGCAGACCACCACCCATCGTCACGTCTGCTGGCCGAAGCATCTGCCGTTGGTCGTGGGTGACCACGTCTACAGCAGCCCCCAAAACAGTAATCAACGCGTCGCTGTTACCACGCCTACTAGATAGCATCTTATCGCATCTTATAGTGCACGCCAAGTAGAAAAGCATCTTTTCGAGAAGGCGCCGAGACCTTTATTAGGGCGCGAAGGTCACCACGGTGTGGAACTCGCCATTCTCGCCCATGAGGTCAATGTGCGGCGGCACCTTGGACGGGATGTACGCGTCGCCAATGGAGAGGCGACCGTGGACCCGGTCGTCGTCGACGGCCGAGTAGCGCACCGTCGCGCGCAGCGCCGCGCACGCAGCGTCCAACGCTGGGATCAGGTCGGTCGCCATGTCGCGCGCCCAGAGCGGGCTGCGTAGCGTATACTCGGCAAAGGTTGCATCGCGCCACGCCTTGACGTCGGCCAAGTGCAAGTCGCCAAACACGAGGCATCCAATACGACCCGGCGAGGGCACGTGCTTGGTCGTGAGCTCGAGAAGCGCGTCTTTGACGCACTGGGTGTAGTTGCTCCCTGTCGGCGTCTACATCATCATCCTCGTCGTCAGTAGACTGCGTCTTTAAAGGAATCGCAGTACCGCCACGAGAAAGAGCGGGAGGTTCAGCGCTTTCGCTTGCTCGACAATCGTGCGGGGCGCAATGTTTTGAATTGGCAAAATGTTCTCGTCTGGATTGTACGTCGAGAGCAGCACGACGTCTTGGTGTGGCTGGCGCGTCGCCACGGTATCAACGAGCGCGAGGAGAGAGTCTTTGCCGCCACTCCAGAAGACCACAATCGTCTCGGTGGCCGCACCCCGCGATGGCTTCTTGTAGCCGAGTCGGCTCCCGCCCATCGGCTTTGGCGCTTTCAAAAAGACAGACGACGCGAGCTTGTTCGTGGCGTCGCCGAGGTGTTCGATCGGGACGTTGACGTGGCCATATGGGCAGTGGCGGCACCGGTTGCCGCAGCACGCTTGGCGCTCCTTCAGGTACCACGCTGTAAAGACTCCGTACCCCGTCGCCGGGTCCTCGTACCGCGCTGCGTGCGCGTCGCACGCCGCTTGGTGTGCGGCATCGATCTTGTCCTGGACCGACGAGACAACAGGCGTCTTTGGCGGTGCATAGCGCTCGAAGGGAAAGGCCGAGACCGCGGTCATCGCTTCGATGCCCGACGGCGCCGGGATTAAATGCACGAGCCACTCGAGCGCATCCAAGAGCCGATTCGTTGGGCGGTTGAACATTTGGTTGCCGTCGACGACAAAGACGTTGTTGGCCGCCACGGCCGGCGACGACGTCCACCACGCAGGCAGCGGCTTGGACGCGAGCTCGCGCTTGGCCACGTCGCGGTCGAGGCCGCAGAGCGCGACGACAATGATGTCGGCGGGCTCCAGCGAAGACGGGTCGAGGATTTTGCCGCTTTGGGTCGGGACAGCGCCCCCGGCGAGCTCGACCATTTCGGCGGCCCAGCCTTTTACCACAAAGAGCGGCGAGAGCCACTCGACAATGTAGACGATCGGTGGTGTGGCGCGGTGGGTGGCGGCGGCGGCGAGCGCGGCTTGTCGGGCGTGGTTGGCGGCCACGACGGCATCCGCAGCCTCTTGGAGCTGGAGTGCGTCGCCGAGAAGCCGCACCGAGTCGTCGAGCGCATTGGGCAGCGTCCGGCTGTTGACCAAGAGGATCTGCGTCGGGTGGTCGCCGTTGCTCACGGCGCATGCAACACTCGGCTTGTCGATCGAGCACACCTTGCAGACATCTTGCACCTACATGCCATGCAAGAGCGTTGACGTGGAGGGCAAAGGCAATGTCGTCGTCGTACGAGGATGAGGTCGGCGCGCAGCGAGAGCAAGGTCGCCGTGTCGATCTCGTATAGCGAGTTGTCGGTCTGTAGCAATGCAAGGACTTCGTTGTGCACGTCTTCGCACGTTGTGAACGTCGTGCGCGGCTTGGTCAACACGGGCACGGACGCATACGACGCAGGGTAGTCGCACTCGTGCGACCGCCCGACCAGCGTCGGCAGGGACGCCGATGGCATGCCCAGCGCCGTCGCGGCCGCGAGGATGCTCGCCAGCTGCTCGGTGGCCGACGGCAGAAGAGAGATCACGCGCAGCGGGGCAGAGGACGCACGCGTCGTCGACATGGTGGAACAGAACCGAACGAGTGCCCGCGGCCGCAGCATCCAACTGGCGAAGCTGCATACAGCATACAAAACGAGAGGCGAAAAATGCATATTTACGCCGGATTTTGTCACGGCAAAGTGCCCTTTCTGGCCAAGACCGTCAGGCAAAGATCGCCTCCATGGCCAAGTGCAATCTGCGAGATACATCGTCCGGCAGCTCCCAAGGATGTCGACGGAATGCTATGCAGAGTGGGCACGGGCTGTATGTCGGCCCACAACGGTATGCAGGAAGCAGGAGCGTTGTAGGTAGTCTCTTCTAGTGTCGACCTTCGAGATCGTGTGGACTGTCGAGCAGATAGTTTTGCTCTTTTCATAACAATCGCCCGAGGCAACCTCACTTGCAACGCACGCTCTCGTAATACCGATGACCAAGCAACACGACGATTGCTCGTGCGCAAGTCGCGTACGATTACCGAAGAAATCGATATGAAGTTTCATTCAAAATGCCAAAGAGGATCGGGTTAAAAGTATGCGCGATCGACATCGACGTCCGAGAGACCCTTTTTCACTTGCGACGGAGGTGGAAGCGGCGGACATTTGAAGAAGCTGCGCCAGCGACAGCTTGTGCGACGGTGGCAACAGCGGCTCCGTTGCGCTCGTCGCCATTGAGGTTGTGCTCAGCGGCCACCTGCCATCCTTCTCGGATGGCTCCAGCGATGGTCGTCACCAAATCGACAGCAAGAGTACAAAAAAAAGTGTACTACCATATGGAATTTATGTACTCTTGATCGATAGTCACGTTGGGGCACTCGTCGGCAATGAAATCGCTGCCATTGGCTGCGCGATAGAGATCGACACCGAGAAGCGTGATGGACGGTCCATGGCTCCAATACGGCAGCTTTGGTGTCACTTGCGCAACCTGCTCGGCCATTGCAGTCCCACAGCAACACCCACGCACGTGGTCTGGCAGATACACGTTGTTGTGCAGAGCGACATTGCCGCAGCTCACTGTATCTGTGATCGCAGCTGCCGCTGCCCACTGAGCCATCGATGGCATGCGCAGGAGACTCAGATCGACAGAAACGGGATCCGGAGGGGCTACTGCCACGGTTATTGGGTTGCAGTCGATTGATCGATCGACCATTCGCGACCCCTAGCCCTGATTCAAACCAGAGAATAAGTTCATTTTGCGTTTGTATTGAACGGGATACTTGCCTTCGCGCCGCTTGTGGACACCTCATCCTCGTTCGACCGTCGACACGCGCTTGAAGCGGCGAGCCCTCGTTCGATATAAAACAGAGCACTGGGTGTGTATCGCATGCAAAACGCAAGACATCATAAAATGTAGGTGCCATGCAACCGAGCGCTGGTGTTCAATTCGCATTGCGCCCCGTCCCGAGCCCGGCTCGTCCCACGTCGTCTTCTCGACCATTGATGGCGAGTCTGCTTCTTTTGAATCCGTACGCATGACTACCCCAGCGCCCTCAGCGAAGTTCACCGTCATGCGCAGCCGCGTCACGGAGGCTGGTCTAATGGCTGCGATCCACGAGTTCAAGCGGCGCGAGGCTAACGGTGACGGCGACGACCTGCTCATTGCCCAAAACGTGCTTCTCCGCCGCTGGCTGGACGGTCCTTATTCCAGTGGCGCGGTCTTCCGAGCGACGTACGATGGCGACGTCATTACCAAGACGACCCGCGGCGACATTTACATGACTGAGGTGCCTGGCGAAGTGCACCAAGAGTCCATCGCGCGAATTTACATCGCCCTCGATACCGCCTTGGCGGGAACGCCGTTGAAGTGCGTCAAGGGCGTCGATTACAACCATGCTGGCTACGTCCGCCGACCCGACCTCGCGATTCGACCAACGCACGCGGTCCTCGGCGACGCCATCAGCACTCTGCCCCGCTGCATGATCGAGGTCACCGTCACGCACCGCACATCATTCCATCGGCACGACCGAGATACGCGCGCGCTTTTCCGCGAGTTTCCCCCGCTCCAGACAGTCCTTGTCCTCGTCCTCTACCCGTTGCGGGACGCGGCGACGCTTGATCCGAACATGAACCCCATCTTGGCGCAGATGCCTGCGCTCGCTGTGCTCTACCGTCGTCTTGGCAACGACATTGCAATCACGGATGCCATGAGCTGCGGCAACGTTGCTCTTGACGATGGCGTGCACCTCCCAGGGCACGTGGATGTGCGCAACGAGGTCGATGCGATGGCTGCCGAGCTGCCGCAAGTCGTCGAGCGCCAGCCGCATGACCACGGACCTTCCATTACGCTGCTCGGCGACGATCTGTACCGCGCCGCAGATGGACACGGCCATATCATTCAGGGCTTGCTCCCCGACTACCCCGTGTATTTGGCAACGACGATCGCCGCAGCGATTCGAACAGGATACGAAGAAGCAGCCCAGGCCAACGGCCTCGCCGCATACGCTGCCGCACAAGCTGCTGCACAAGCGGCTGCCGAGCAAGCAGCCGCTGCGGCACCGAATGTCGGTCGCCACAACCAGCGGTACAACCTCCGTCCTTGAATTAGCACCTTCCAGGCATCATTGTAGCATTCTCGATTTTTTGTGATGTTGGTCAATGACCATTCGTTTTCGTGAATATTGTCGTAGGGAAGCGCCGATGTGTTGTGTATATCTATAGCACAACGCACCGGCTTGCTTGTCGCGGATCCGACCAAGAGACTGAGCATGCCAGGTGTCTTGAAACACGACACGAGCGCACGCATTCACTTCCTTTAGGGAGCGCCGACGCTCGCTTTTCCTGCCGACATGACGTGGCGGCACCTTGCGGCTGACCGTTACACCCGTTGGCTCGATGGACCATATCTTTATCCGGATCCAAGGTAGGTCGAATGAAGTCTCCGCGTCGTACCATCCTCCTACACCTTTGACGGGTCATGTTCTGCCGCACCGATGGCCGCAACGGTGCGACGCGGTGGCTGCTGGTGCACAAGACGACCGTGCTTACAGTATTTATGAAAAACAAACGAAATGCGAAGTTAGAGGAGAAACGGAAACGAGAAATGCTACGATGATGCCTGGGAGGTCTTCTTTCAGTGGCGGAGGTTGAAGCGGTGGTTGCGGCGTCCCACATTCGGTGCCGCAGCGGCTGCTTGCTCGGCAGCAGCTTGTCCAGCAGCAGCAAGTGCGGCGAGGGCGTTGGCTTGGGTTGCGACGTTGTATCGCACGCGGATGGCTGTGGCGATCGTTGTCGCCAAATACACGGGGTAGTCGGGGAGCAAGCCCTGAATGATATGGCCGTGTCCATTTGCGGCGCGGTACAGATCGTCGCCAAGCAGCGTAATGGAAGGTCCGTGGTCATGCGGCTGGCGCTCGACGACTTGCGGCAGCTCGGCAGTCATCGCATCGACCTCGTTGCGCACATCCACGTGCCCTGGGAGGTGCACGCCTTCGTCAAGAGCAATGTTGCCGCAGCTCATGGCATCCGTGATTGCAATGTCGTTGCCAAGACGACGGTAGAGCACAGCGAGCGCAGGCATCTGAGCCAAGATGGGGTTCATGTTCGGGTCCAGCGTCGCCGCGTCCCGCAACGGGTAGAGGACGAGGACAAGGACTGTCTGGAGCGGGGGAAACTCGCGGAAGAGCGCGCGCGTATCTCGGTCGTGCCGATTGAACGATGTGCGGTGCGTGACGGTGACCTCGATCATGCAGCGGGGCAGAGTGCTGATGGCGTCGCCGAGGACCGCGTGCGTTGGTCGAATCGCGAGGTCGGGTCGGCGGACGTAGCCAGCATGGTTGTAATCGACGCCCTTGACGCACTTCAACGGCGTTCCCGCCAAGGCGGTATCGAGGGCGATGTAAATTCGCGCGATGGACTCTTGGTGCACTTCGCCAGGCACCTCAGTCATGTAAATGTCGCCGCGGGTCGTCTTGGTAATGACGTCGCCATCGTACGTCGCTCGGAAGACCGCGCCACTGGAATAAGGACCGTCCAGCCAGCGGCGGAGAAGCACGTTTTGGGCAATGAGCAGGTCGTCGCCGTCACCGTTAGCCTCGCGCCGCTTGAACTCGTAGATCACAGCCATTAGACCAGCCTCCGTGACGCGGCTGCGCATGGGAACAAACGGGATCGAGGCGGCCATGTCCTTCGACTCTTTCAAGAATACCAAAATGCGCTTGCACTGCAGAATAGATATACTAGTAGTATGGGACATGGCGCAACAAAACGAATTTATATTTGACAGGACATGACCCGTCAAAGGGACAGGACGATGGATGGCACGACGAACCGGATTTTATTCCAGCTGCCTTGGATCCGATATGGTCCACCACCAAGCAAGATACGCCAACAGATGTAATTGCCAACTGCGAGGTGCCGCCACGTCATGGCGGAGGAAGGATGCCACGCCCACAAAATTAGCGAATACTAGTAGAACGCAATGGTGGGATGTCCGCCAGCGCCACACACTAGCCGTTCAAGCTGCTACCAAAGCCGCTGCTGCGTTTGTCCCTGTCGCTATTGAAAAATGCAATCTTGGAAGTATACCCGTTGGTGTACGTACATACAGCATTTTGGCGCGGCTGCATGACGTCGAAGATGTGGTAAATGGCGTATAGAATACCGTAATTTGATGAAGTGGCTGGCTGTCTTTGTGCACTTCAAGTCGACGACGAGTGCCAAAGCATGTCTAGCATTGCACACGACCACATAGGACGGGTGCCGACAGTCTGGGAGGGTTAAACGTTAACCCTCCCAGACCTAACACTAACAGGGAAATATAACAAACATCATCGCTTTGCCTCTTGCTACAGCCTACACAATGAAACAATTGGTGTCAACTTGCACCACATAATACCAGTCCCTCGAAACACAGGTTGGCACCAAGGTCCGCGAACTCGCGCAAGTCTAGTTTTGATGTAGGATGCGGACACTCTTGCGCAGGACACCCCTGAGGACATTTAGTCCTAAAAACGTTGTTGCCTTTATCTTGCAATGGCTAAAGATGGGGTTGCGTCGTCTGATTGTCCTTCACGAAAATAGATCCTCGTCAGCGCCACTGCCAGACACCACTCTTCAACGCTTGCTTCATATGCGGTCGTCCAAGGTCGGTGTCGAGCGCGGCCCGTCGCCGGATGCTGTGCCGCGATTTGCAGTGGCGTACCACATGGGCGCTTTAGCACTCAGCGTCCTCGTCTCGTGCTTGATTGTTGCCATGGTACTCCAATTTCCTCGTGTCTCCACGCAGTGCACTGAGTGGGATGTTGCCTAGCCGTTTGAAGCGTACATTTCCGAAACACTGCCGTGGGCAACCGCACTACCCGTGCCCCACGACTTCAGTAACCTCACGCGCTTCAACCAAACGGCCCTCGCGATGCACCAAGCGCTCTACACCCGCTCGACGCTGCCGCTCGGCGCACCGTACTATTTCGACGCCTCTCGCAACGCCCACGTGTGCCGCCACGTCATTTCAACGACCAGCCCGCTGCTCTTCTCGGAGCTCCCGGGGGTTCTCTTTTACGGCCGCGCGATGCTTGAGCTCCTGCAAGCCTTTGCTAACGACACGGGTGCCTCCTCTTCTTGGCATGGACGCGGCACGTGTGTTGTCGTGAGCTTCATTGCGGTACCGCTCTCACACCAATGCATTTGGCTCTCGAGCGGCAACGACCTAACCAACACGACGCATGACGACTTTACGCTGACGTATGCACTGACGCAGTATCCGTACCCGGTGCTCGTTTGGTTCAAATTTACGTGGCGTCTTGGCACCACAGCGTTCCTTCTGCTGCTGCTGTGGCGCCGGTACTATAGCTTGTGCAAAGATATGGCCACCGCGCTGACGCTGCGTGGTCACCGGGACGACTTGGCGCGAGATGCGTTGTGGCACTACGTGGTCGTCCTCGGCGATCCGACGGCACCGCTGGCCCTTGATGCCTATGTCGTCACGGCCTTCTTCGTTGATTTCTCGCTCAGTCCACACATGGTCGCCGTTGCAGTGTTGCGTCTGCTTCAAGTCGACGATCTCTGGGCGACGCTCAAAGCGGCCTTGTATCTGCGTCGCATGGTATGGACAATTTATGTCTATTATAGTGTAGACGATTTATGTAGGTGTGGTTTGCGTGCTTTGCGCTCACAACGACCAACGCATTCCTCAAGCGGTACCACCTCGAGCGCTTCTTCCTCCAAGTCGACCCAACGCTCCAAAGTCTCTTAATTTTTCTTCTTGGTCCCTTCTTATGGTATGGCACAGCCGTCGTCCCGAGCTTCTTGACAGCGTACCAGTACCTTCTTTGGTGTCTCTTCCCGACCACTTATGCATATCGGATCGAAGTCGCGATCGTTGGCTCTGCTTACATTGTGATCATTGCCATGGCGCCGCTGCTCTATGGCGCCGTGGGGCTCTGGCGCCGGCAGCGCCCGTCGACCATGCGCTACAGCAGCGCCCGCTACAACGCACTGACCAGCCGCCTCCTCCTCTCGTGCATTCGACCGCTGCAAATGCAAGACGAGCGGGGCCTTGGCGGCAGCATTCATGCGCTTTGTGAAGCAAACGCGCGCTACAAGGCACTACCTGTCATCAACACGGGCAGCTCGGACTGTTTTGTACTCTGCTACTGCAACCACCGACTCGAGGCCACGCTCCGACTCACTCTCGTCGAGTACCTCGATCTGCAAAGCGACGAGCCCCATCTTTGCGTCGTCTCTGGCGTCTCGACGTCGCGCTTCAACGAGCTCGAGCAGCCGAGTCGACAAGCATCCAACGAGAAACTCTCACGGCCGCGGCTGCTGCGCGCGCGTTCTCCATCACCGTGGTGCCTGTGATACTGGTCATTTGGCTGGTTTGATGGTGTCGTTTCCATCGAACCGTGTCATTCGAATCTAGTACTATGTGGTGTTCACTTCCAGGTACCAGAATTGTATCGCGAAGCGTCTTAAGGGCTAGGGCGGGGTAGGGTTCTGATACCTGAGGGTACAATTTGAACCACATGTGGAATGCGAGCGTACCAGCGGTAGCCAACCCAAGGTAGTACGAGCAAGGAGTACACGCGGTGTGGTCTATTCTTTACGTGCGAGACCAGAAAGATTAGTTTGTTCAAAAACGCAAAATAAGACGAGTTTGACGGCGCTACATGCACCACTCGGATAGTAGTTTGGGTCGAGCAATGCAGAGAGGCGCGGCAGCCGACGTCCGCTGTGGTTTTTTCAGCGTCTCTGAGGCAAACGTTTGGGCAAGGGGGCGTAAAAGCTCATTGACAATGTAGTGCGAGGGACTGTCGGCGTCGGGAATCGCCGCGTGGTGCTGCGAGGCAGTGCAATCCAAGTTGGACAAGAGACTCAGTCGGATCTTGGCTCGGGGAACGTCTCGTTCATAGCAGAGGACAAAGACATCGGCGGCGCGGCTGCAAATCGCCGGCGACACTTGATACCTTGGGTTGAGCTCAAAGATCGAGTAGAGCGTCCCACCGAGCGAGACGAGATCGCTGTCGTCGTTGCGCCGGTGATTGATACAAAAGGCGGTGAAGAAAAGCCGGTTCTTTGCATTGTTGTTGCGCCAGCTGGCGTAGAAGGACCGAGTGAGCGGCGTAATTTTTCGATGGCCTACATCAAAGTGTGAGCGCTCGGTTTATATGATGTGCGTCGTCGTACGCAGATAAGGGACACCAAAGCCGTACAGCAGCGGCATGCTACCCATGAGAACCATGTAAAAGATGGCGACGAGGAAGACTTCGATTGCTTCGTCTTCATCCGAGACAAGGCAGTCGAGGAGGTAGCTGTAGGTCGAGAGAAAAAAGCTCACGTTGCTGCCAAGCCACGTCAGAAGCGGGCCATAGATCGAGACGACGACCGCCAACAGCGTCGGGTCGATTTGGGAAAAACGGCGCTTGTTGCCGCTGCGCTTGAGCCAGCGCGAAACGAGGCAGATCGCTGCATACGCGATCCAAACCTACATACACAACGACACGTCAAGAATCAACGAGAAGAACCGATTCGTACGACGCGGGAGAGGTACAAGAACGAGATGAGAAGCAGCGGCAGGTCTTGGTTTTGACTCGACCGAAGAATCGCCACGCCGAGCGTGTCCGAGCTGATCCAAATGTCGACCAGAAAGGCGAGTGCGACGTTGGTGCTCATCAGGACCAGCGCCGTCGGATCGCCGAGCACGATTGTATAGCGCCACGCACCGAGATTTTCCAAGTCGGTGCGGTGACCATGGACAGCAAGGACGCGCTCGAGCTGGACGTACGGACCATAGTACCGACGCCAGAGCAACAAGAGTAGATAGCACGTCAAGCATAGTCGATACGCGAGCTTGAGCCAGAGCCACTCGGGATACGCATAGATGCGCAGGACGTAGTACAGCGTGTACGCGCCGTTGGTGTCGCGACCGACCACGTCATCTCCGGCCGCTAACCAGAGGCACGCTTCGCCGAGGTTGATGGCCAGCATGCGCGAGTGCGCGCAGGCTCCTCGGGTGCTCCAGCTCGCATTACGCTGCTCGTGGTCGGCAGCAGCAAACGCACACACGAGCGTTCGCATGTTTTTGCTAAAGTAGATCGCACCGGGCAGCCCAACGAGGAAGTGTCTTTGGCAGTCATCGGCGGATTTAAGTGGCTTGTGGGTCGTCTCGAGAACGGTTCGCAGCACTTGCAGGCTCTGGGCCGTGTCGAGGTAAAAGGTCGTGCCGTGCGGCAGTGTACTCCGATTATAGTCGCGCTGGTAGCGCGCCAAGGCCGAGATGTTGAATGCTGTAAAGTTGCTGGACGACGATGGGATCGTCGTGTCGACGTCCCATGGAAATGGCTCGGAGAGGTACGCCTTGAACGGCTACGAGAGCGTGAGCAGCATGCATATCATCATCGACAGTCAAGGAGTGACCATGGCGAGAGGTTGATGAGCATGATGAGGCTGATTACGAGGGCTCCTCGGTGACGCTTTACACGCGGCGGCGGCTTGGCTGCTTGCGTTAGCTCTGCACTTGGACCCACCACCGCGATCGACATTCCGTTGTATCGTGTGTCCAGCTTGTCAAGTGTCCATCTCGGTGGACGCTCTATTTGGGGCACAACGCCTACTACAAGTTTCAACCTACAACGCACACACGTGATCACGTTTAATTGGTGGCTGCGATGACGAGGTCAAGCACAATGGCTCCGTTCAAGAGGTGACTCGAGATACGACGAAGGGTTGGCGAACGCGGCAACGTGCAAATTGCCGACAGCACTCCTTGTGGTGGCCAGACACAACAACCTTGATGTGCGGCGGCGACCGAAGGATGCGAGCGTGCGGCGGGTTGGACATGTAAGAACCTTCAAGAACCGACCATGGGGATGACGATTGTCTTGTAGTACGTGGTGCGCGACGTGATCGGTCGCAAAGGGCGCTGTACTGTGCGTGGATCGGACTCACCACGGGCATTCACTCACGTTTGCCAAAAGATGAATATATGTGCATACGTGGATTGTAGTATGTCACGCCGTTGTCGCCCTGAAGCTCTATTCAAGTTACTTCCGTGGCGTCGCTGTCGTCGATAGCAAGGGTTGATAAACTGTGTATTGATTGACCCTTGTCTGCACTAGTGTGCGCAGTACAGTACTCGGTGACACAAGCCATCCGTGTCGAACTGCAAAGCATCATCATCCACGACCACAAGGTAAGGACTCACCCTCCTATAGCACCTGCATGATACGACAAAAACAGTCCAGCGCTCCGAGCCGCATTCGTCGACGTGATCCACGAGGTTGTGGGGCTAGGGTACGCGGTCGTCGTCCGAAGGTGGACGCTGCTAGATTCTCACTTCTGCTGAGAATGAACCTCGCGGCACAGATACGACAACCCCATGAGCTACCAGCATTTCAACATCCACAGTCGCCGTGACGTCCTCGCCGCCACAAGACATCCAGACCCATCACGAATCTGGGCACGACGAGCAATCTGAGATCTGAGAACCGGGCATCCTGCTGCTGTCGTGCATACACCCACGTCGGTCATGCACGCCCCCAGACGTCGCTTCGGCACGTTCCAAAAGTCCATGTGGTACTGGAAGAAAACGATGCACAACACTTAGCACTTGACATTCTTTTGAACACTTCGACGCGATCAACTAAAACTGAGCCGTAAACTGCCGCTGCATGTCCGAGAGCAGTTGCTTTTGGTTGTCGAGCGATAGCTTCATTTGCTCGAACGTCTCGCGCATCTCGTGCTCGTCATAGAGACTCAACGTGCGTCGATGCGGCCGCTCGGTCTGTGAGAGGATCGACGCGCCGCGCACGTCTTCGATATCAACGTCGTGTTCCGTGTCGGCTTCAAGCACCGAGGGGGCGCTGGAGGTCGAGAGACCATACCGGTGGTTGACACCCCACTCGTCGGGTATCTGGACATTGGGTGCGCTGGACGACCGCTTCGCGGACGAGTCTATTGCCATTGCCGTGTCGTTGAGTTGGGTTACAATCGGACGATGGACGTACCGTAGGTTGACCGCGACGATGGCCGCGTTTCGGCTTCGTACGCACGCCGCGTGTCGATGACGCACGCCTTGCAAAAGTGGCGCTTCTCGCTCGGGACAAGCCCCTTGGTGTGCATGGGGCTAAGGACCGTGACGCGGCACTTCTTGCACATGTGCTATGTACAAAATAAACATTAAAACATGAAAAATGACAATTCTGTACACATGCATGACGTACATGGCCACAAATCGAGCACGTCGAGCGCGACCGAAACAAGGAAAACGACGCGTGGCAAGCCTTGCAGTTCTTGGCCGGCACCCTGTGCGCCACATGAGCATCAATCGTGTCTTCTAATTGTCGACGTACGAGACGGCGGACGCGCATTTGGCTTCGAGGAGGCGGCGCATCGTGATGAGCGGCGGCAATTTCTCGTCCATGTTCATGTCGCCAAACGCGGTCTTGTTGTAGAGCCAGCCGGGCACCGACCCGTTCGGATCCGAGAACGTCGTAAAGGTAAAGGTGACGCGGCCGTCGCTGTGCAGAGTGTAGAGCTGGATGAGCTCAAACTGGAAGCGCACGACTTCGTGGAACGGAGGAATCTCGGGAAACGCGTGCGTCTCACGGACCACAAAGAGAACCGTTTCGCCCCGCAGATTCCGAGTCGTGCCCGTATACTACCATCATCATCATCCGCATCAGCATGCGCAGCAGAAACATCGACTGTACTACCTCGACATAGGTCGCGTCGCGGGGCTCGAACGCTGCCTTGCCTTGGAGGTGGATCTTCATGTACTTGACGCCAAACCATAAGAACGGGTCCTGTGCATTCCTGCTCAGGGTCGTGTTGAGCACCGCGCCTTCGAGATAGTGCTCGCCGTAGAGCACTGCGAGATACTCGCGGTACGCGCGCGCGTCGGCTGTGTAGAGTGCATACTGAATGTCGGCCAGTGTCATGTCGTGGCACGTGCCCGCGCTCCGGAGCTTCTTGAACGCCGAGTCGTGCACGTTTCGCGTTGCGACCGTGAAATTGTGCTTGTTGAGGAGAACCTTGTACGCAGCGTCGGTCTCGTACTGCGCCTCGAGCTCGGTCTGGACGCGGCTGAGCGCGCGCTGCTTGAGGCGGCCGTAGAGCTCGGCGTCGAGGGTCACGCCGCCGTGCTGCATCTGCAATGCTGTTCGTCTCGGCGCAGAAAGGGCAATGAGCGACAACCAAGTGGTGGGCCGCACCACGGACACGCTCCGCATGGCCAATCAGACGGTGTCGCGACAGGTGGCACCAATGCACGGATTCTGCAGCTGGCCACGTTGCTCGCGTGGCACCCGACGACAAATTCGCTTAAACAGTACACACCATTCCTTGGATTCTGCTCGACGCCAGCGTTCGTATTGTCGGCGCGGTCGCTCGTGCTGCGGCGCTTGGCGTACTAGCAGTTCCCATCAACGGCGATGCGTGCGACGCGAACGAGCGCGAGATGATGGATGTAGTCCTGGGTGTACCTCGGACTGTAGCGCCGGCGACGCGTGCGAGGACCAAGCGCGAACCCAGTTGTCGCGCCCGCTTCCTGATGTGGCCATTGGTGTAGGGTAGTATATGATATCCTACACCAATAGCCACATTTGAGTAGCAAGCTGATGAGGCTGGTAAAGTCGCGCTGGACAAGGTGACGTTTACTGAACATCAATTACAGAACGCTCAACGCTCGACGTCAAGGCGATGTCTCTCCCAGGGACCCAAAACGCACGTTACACAGATCGTTCGATATCCAGAAGCCATGTCAACAAACCGGGTCGTCCACCACCACTTGTCGAAGCGACGTGCGTGCTACCATTCAATAATGCTTCATTGTTGCACATGGCAGGAGCCGCCTGTGTGGTACCGGTAGTGGGGCGGTAGGGTCCGTCACGACGACTCTGTTCGTTTGCATTGTCGTAAGAGAGCAAAAGCGGCGTGAGTCATCGTCAGGATACCGTGGTGTGATAATGTCATGCATACGTCGATCGAGACAGGTTGAAGTCGACGGCAGCTGGAGCGTAAAGGCCTGCGCATGTGCTCGCCTAGGCGAATTCCGTCAGCATCATTACGCCACGTGGGACGGAAAATGCGCCCATCACGAGCAATCACACGCGATCAGCTCCAAGAACGGATCTAACTGCAATGTCAAGCGCGTTCCTGCAAAATGCGATTATTTTCATCATTTTCGTGGGAACTTTTCTGCAATGCAATAATCAATCATGGTGGGAAGCCGAGGCGACGGCACTTGGAAAAATAGACCGCACAATCGCGTGGTCGCGTGACATGTCGTTGAGGAAAGCACAGAGTCCCAAACGCTATGCGCAACGTGGGCGACGACCTGGCTTATTCCAGGGTGCGAACTCGATCGAGTTGTCCGAACACTGCAATTCTACGCGTCTCACGTGGTCATGTCAATATACCTGTGCATCCGGTTCTGTGAGTGCTCGCGTGAAGACACCATCCACGATAACGCGCTGTCGACAGCGCATCAAAACTGGCACCGTGCCACTCCAAGCATTCCTATCGGTGTACACTAGTATAAACGTGGCTGCTTTTGCCATCAAGATGCACATTGGTATTGTATAATAGTGCATGTACTTGTACAGTACTAGTACAACCTGCGGATTCGTCGCCGCACGACGTCTCGGCGCGCCTACGTCCGTTGAGGGGTAACTTCACTGCATGTCACTACACAAAAGGCGGCTTCGCATGGCAGTGAATCCTTGGCAGCTCGTGTGTCATTCTGGCCAACCGTCTTTGCTGCATAGAGCTGAGCCGCTCGAACGGCGGCGTGGGTATTCATTCGTTTGCGATCCATATACCGGTAACTTGATGCTCGTAACTATCCGTCTATCTCGATGTATATCTACGAGTCCCTCAATCAAGACCGAGCTAGTAGTACTGAGGTAACCACCGTGTCCGTCATGCCCGCTATGTCAGTGTTGAGTGAGGCGGGTTCGCTTTATTCTGATACTAGTACACTTGTACAACAAATTCTGGAATGACGTGAGTTGGCTTGCTCCTCTGTGCCTGGATTTTGTACCGGTATCCTGAGTTCTTTAACCTTATTGGAGGTTTGACCGCAGATTCTTCTTCAAGATGTGGTCTTCTCGATCGCTCGGCCATGCGCAGAAAACAGCTACTACATTTAGTAGAGCATGTTTCGTGACGGAACGTTTATGCGCGGTCAGCGGTACCGGGTACGAGATCGACGCGATCGGTTTTCGATACAAATTTTTGTATCATCCTGTGAGCAGCTTCATTACGAGCTCGTGGATCCCGCGTTCTCATCTTGGAATGGCCTTTCACATGGCTTCTTCGCTCAGGGGGGAAAAGGGTGCGAGGCCTGCATTACCGCTGCACCTCGGGTGAGGCGTGGCGGGTTGCTTAGCGGAGATCGAAAACTAGAATGCTAGGCTCTTCCGACCAGTCGTTGGTTTCGCTGAGCCGCCTTCTCTTGAAAAGACCGTTTCGACTCCTTGCAGGCGCGAAACACCGATGTGAGGACATCCTTCGCGGTCGCACAAGCCTCGTGTACGTAGCGTCAATCTACAACGAAGTCAAGAACGGTCGTGGCTACATGTAGTTGCATCCAACACCACCAACACAGACACAAGATTGTACGGTCGGTCGTCCATTCGCACGATCGCAGTCGAGTCACGTAGTGCATGGCTGCTGCTTCCTTTCGAAGCTCACAATCAAGCCGCAGAGGTATGGAGGTTCTACAAGCGTCGTTGGTTGACGCATTTGGCTTGTCTCTGCGCCTCCATATATCTATTTAAGCTTATCTCCATGCGTGCAAACAACAATCCACTGGGAGGATGAGTCGCTCGGCCGGTGATTGGCTGAAATATCACTTGGGCGCGGGTTGGCTCCTTGAAGTGTGTCGGTTTGTTCGACAATCACCCAACCCAAGCCGTTTTACCTCGCCGAGCTTTCAACTCGCTTAGCTCGTACTACGTGCATACATGCAAGTTGACGTACCGACCAACACTGAACCGCATCTTGTTTCTTCTTCCGAAATCGCTTTAAGAAGGTCCATCCCCGAGCCGGCCGCCGTGCTCGCCTGACCGCACGCATCATCAATCTCACGCCCAACGAGGGTACCGTACTACGCCATATCTTGGCTCGTCTTGGGCCACACGATCTTCGTCACATTGACGATCGCTGGCAATCGTATTACAACCCCCCGGCAGTACGAGTAGCCAGCACGTGCAGTGGTAACTCTCCAACGTTTCGTAGTGCACGATTCGCGGCTTCAACAAGCTTTCGTGTTCAGTCTTCAACTGGCCGGTTCCTCCACACTCCTACTGTAGCAGCATGAGCATGGCGCTGCGCAATCCAGACCTCGTGCGCCAAATCGCATCGTACCAGTATGGCGTCTTTGAGGACATTCGACCCCTCTTCACCGCGGTCCTCGCTCTCAAAGCGTTGCATCATACCGAGACGACGTCCCGCACGAGCTTCATGGTCGCCCTCGATGCCGCCATGTCGCCGTTCGTGGCGCCGCTGCAAACTGGTCTCTTACTGCGCCTCGTCCGCTGCGTGCGGTCGCGCGACTTTGCCTTTGTCATGAGCTGCCTCGTCAAGCACGCGATCGCGCGCGGCCACGTCGAAATCCTCCACAACGTCCATCGCCGCCTCTCGCTGCACCAGTGCCAGCACCTTGCCCTCCAAGCCGCCGCGTACGGCCAGCTCCGCGTGCTCAAGTACCTTCACGCGATTTCATATCCGCGCTGGGGCCCGACGCCGCTTCTCGCTGCGGTGCAGTGCCGTGACGCAGGGAGCGTCGCCTTTCTCCAAGAACAGTATCCGCAAGCCTGTGTCTGCCACGCACTCACGGCAGCAGCCAAGGCGGGCGACCTTCCGATTGTGCAAACGCTGTACCCGCACCGCCATGCCACCAACTGCGTCCACGACAAGGCCTTTGACCAAGCCGTGAGCGCCGGGCATGTGCCTGTCGTGGCCTACTTGCTCGAACGCGGTGAGACGGGATCCGGGATCGCGCTGGCGCTCGCAGCCGACCACGGCCACCTCGATCTCGTCCGATATCTGCACATGCACGTGGACGATCGAAGCGGCCCTGTCGTCATGGACTTGGCCGCGGCCAGTGGCCACTTGGCGGTGGTGCAGTACCTGCATACGCATGACGTGTCGGGGTGCACGGCGGTCGCATTGCGTGAAGCCGCTGCGTACGGCCATGCGGACGTAGTCGCCTTCTTGGTAGCGCATCGGAAGGAAGGCAACCCGCTCGTCGCGTGGCGCGTGGCGCGGCGACACGGCCATGACGACGTCGCGTCGATTCTCGAACCGTTCATTGCCCGGCGATCGCAGCCGGCACGGAGCTGCAAGCGTACAGCAGCAGCGATCAGTTGCAGTACCTCTAACGTGGCAAAGCGCTCGCGTGTCGTAACAAATATTACCATGTGATTCAAGATGTGTGATCCTTGTTGGAGGACGCAATGGACAGGAGATAGGCCAGATGAGATAAGGCAGTGGCTCGACGCAAGCATCCGAATCTGATGCAAGCAGCGCTGTTGGGTCGTTGTAGGGATGGGATCTGCTTCAAGGCGCCATTGGCAAGAACGTTTCGCGCGCGTCGAAGCTGCGTCAGCCACGCGTGACGTGGCAGCACAGAAAGGGATGCGTTCCTTTTATTTTATTTTATACTTACAACTTGCCAATTTTATACAATAAAACACTTGATTTAAAAGATGGCATTGGTCGATATTTGTCGTGATTTGAACCAATCCTGTGCGAGCAGGGTGTGCACGCTCCGGCGTTCAAGCACTCGGTCGCGTCCAACACGGTGTAAAATGAAATCGCCCATAGTTGTCCGAGCGATAGAAGACACTCTATGAAGCGTAAACCGCTATATCCCGCTGGCGTTGGAGCTCTCCAGCTGGAGAAATCGACGAAATTGTTGTATGTGGCATACGCCATATATAGGCACATAAAACCATATTTACCACATTATCCGGATAATTCGGATATCCATGGACTCAGTTCTGTGGTCGTATTTTTGGCTCCAACATGTTGCGCCACTTCGCCGTCCACTGCGCTGCGCGCCGCGTCGCGGGCCTTACCGCCACCCCGTCCGTGGTCGCCCGTTCGTTCTCCAAGAAGGCCAAGGGTACATCTATGCGGTGTGAAGGCCATTCACTCATGCGACGTCTCCTTGCGTAGCTGGGAAGGGCAAGGCGTCGCCCGAGGTCAGCGTCTCGCTCGACGAAGTGAGCAAGAAGACGCAAGAGGACGTCATGAAGAACATGAAGGGCGCCGTCTTGAACTACACCAAAGTGCTGAGCGCCATGCGCCCGGGCCAGGCCGACGCTGGCATCTTTGACAACCTCATGCTCTCGGCGTATGGCCAGATGGTGCCGCTGCCGCAGCTCGGCCAAGTGTCGGTCGTCGGGTCGCACGAGCTCGCGGTGACGGTCTACGATCCGTCCATGATCAAGGACGCCAAGAAGGCCATCGAGGAGATGAACCCGTCGTTCACCGTGCACCCGAACGGCACGACGCTCGACATTCGGTTTCCCAAGTACTTCTACTACGACGCACATGATGCACTCACTCATCTGGATGGTAGGATGACCAAAGAGACGCGCGACGAGCTCATCAAGGCCGCCAAGAAGCAAGCCGAGGCCGCGCGCCAGCACATTCGCCGCGTGCGCCAAGATGGCATGAACGACCTCAAGAAGCTCAAGGACAGCATCTCGGAAGACGACATCAAGCGCGAGCAGGACAAGGTAGACATTTCCCATCCGAAAGAATCTCATCTACGTCAATGCGAGTAGATCCAGCGCCTCACGGACGAGAGCATCAAGGACATTGGCTCGCTCTTGACAGCCAAAGAGAAGGATCTCAGCAGCGTCTGATACAACCCATCATCCAACACTGTCGTTGCCAGACTCGACTGTGTCTATATTCTCTCGACGTGTTATGTGCAATATCTACAAGATCGACCACTGGTTGCGGACCTTCACCGCGAGCTGTCGGACGACGCGCTTCCGGTCGTCAATGGGCGCCAGAAGGCGCTTGATGACCATCTCCTTATACGGGTGGATGAGATCGTACTTGGTCGACGCCAGCACGCCAATGCATTCGAGAGCGTCCATGCGGTCGCGGGCCGATTGCCTGTCGTCCATCCATGGTCAGCCATTTTTCTCACATTTCGCACAGCCACAACGTACCCAAACTGCGTCTGCCACAAGAGCCCGTTGAAGACGTCCTTGAAAAAGCCTTGGACGAGGTTCGGGTCTTGCTGCAGGCACATCTAATGCACACACGAGTCGATAGCGTATCCAGGATGTGTGGAATACCTTGAAGGTGGCGAGCGCAGAGTGCCCGAGGAGCCCCGTCTCGGTCAGCGCCAGGATGACCAGCGGCGCAATCTGAGCCAGCGACGGCACGAGGATCGCTTGGGGCGTGTGGGCCACAATCAAGAGCAGCGCGACGCGGCCTTCATAGTCGAGGTTCGACTGAAAGAGGAGGGGAAACACATGGGCAAACGTTCGCTGGCGGTGCACGCACTAGACAAAATGTATCAATGTATCAACCGACCAAAAGAGCCAGAACGTACGCTGATCGAGGCGTGGCACGCCGGCGCGAGCACATCGTCCGACTCGGCCACGAGGGCCGCAAAGCTCGTGGCCACCGCCGGCCGCAAATCAAAGGGCGACGTCAAGAGCGAGCAGAGAAGCGAGAGCATGGCCGGCGCATACGTGGCGTGCCCCCGGAGCACCATGGCCTTGCAGAGGTACACGTACGTCTGCAGCGCCGCGAGCCTTGTGTCCTGCGAGCACGTCGCATCAAGAATGACGGCCGCCGGCGACGCCATGCCTTCGAGGCGGGCATCGGGCGACGTGATCCACTTTAGGTACGCAGCGAACAGCGGCGTGTCCTCTGGGAGGACGTTGAAGAGCGCCGCAAGCGCCTTGGGAATGCTCTCGTCGTCGCCTCTGCTCTGCGCGGCGAGCGTAAACAGCTGCGGCAAGAGGCGCGGCAGCACGTCGGGTTCGAGCGCCGTCAACGCCGCGCCGCACGAGTAGAGTACTGCGTTCAATAGTGGCAGTAGCTGGGCGTGGCCACGCAAGGGCGAAATGTCCGACGTCAAGGCCAGCTGCAAGGTCGACGTGAGCAGCGTTGTTTGCGCCGGGAGGGACCCGCACTGCATGACATGCGCGCTCATGCTGGCCGTCGCCCGCACGATCGGACGGACGTCGATCGACTGCGTCCGGACGTGCACGACGAGCGCGTCGACGAGGCGGGAGAGCACCGACGATGAAGTGTCACGAGTGCCGAGGATGACGTAATCCATGCACGCGACCGAGCCCTTGTTGACGCGGACAATGTCGGCCGCGGCCGCCATCGTCGCGGTCGCAAACGGGTGCGTCCAGCTGATCTGGCACAGCGGCAGGAGGAGCGCTTCAAAGATGGCGGGGGCGAGCGAGAGCTGCGTGAGGACCGCGAGGGTGTCGTGCACCATGACCTCGATCGACCGCCCAGACGCTGCATTGGCCTAGTCCATCATCCATTCAATCGCCGCACCATGAAGCAAAAAAAAGTACCGCCGGCTGTTCGAGGACTTGCAGAAAGGACGGCACACAGCGCGTCAATACGATCTGCGCGAGGCCAGGCGACTTGAGCGCAATGGCCTGCAGCGTGCTCGTGGCTTCGTCGCGGACATCCGGAAACGGGTTGGAGAGCACCGTACTTGTCCAGCCTTGCAGGAGCACCTCGAGCGAGGCATCGTCCAGAAGCGGCGACGGCGGCCGCAAGACAAGGCAGCGCAGACCCTGGAGACACAGCTTTTGCTGCCGGCTCGAGGTCGCGGTTTCGAGCCCGTGCACGAGCGTCGTTTGGATCGCACTCACATAGGGCACGAGCGGCGGCGCCGAGTGGTCGACCTCGGCGTCAATGCACCCAAGGAGCTGCACAAGGCGGGCGGTGGCAGCCTCGGCGGGCGACCCGGCCTGCGCGGCGCACTGCTCGAGCAGCAGAGCCAGCGCCGACGACAGCACGTGGCTAAACCCAGCGACACCGACACTCGCGATTGCACAGAGCACATGGCCGGCGCCCGTGCTCACCATCGAGTCGGGGGCTTGGTGCGCGAGGTCCTCGACCGCTTGGTTGACGAGGTACACGATGCATTTGTTCCACGCCAGTGCTTGCATGCCGGGCAGCTTGCTCGGCGGCGACACTGCGCGCGTGATCGTCTTGAGCGCGTCGATCGCAACGGCAATGACCGCCGTGTTGTCGCCGTGGAGCACGTGGTGGTAGACCGCCGCGGCGACCGGCGTAAAGTGAAGGAGGAGGCGGTTGAGCGGGTATTTCGCGCAGCAAAACGCCAGCGTCTCCAGAATGTCCTTGGTCATCTCGACGACAGTTGTGCGGCTGAGCTTATCGAGCACCATCGGTAGCACGTGCTTGGCGAGGCTGTCGTGGCCCACAAAGACACTGCGAAGCGCGAGCACGAGATCCTCGGACGTGATCCCGTACGGGTCGTTGGGCGGCGGGCGGAACGTGATCGGAAAGTAGCACGACGTCGCGTCAAAGAAGCCTTTGGCGACGTCGGCGTCAACGACATTGGCGTACGTCGTGAGGAGCTCGGCCGCAAACCGGAGGCAAAACAGAAGATTGCGCGGGTCCTTCTCGCCGCTCATGGCGCGCAGAAAGCCGTCCATGAGCACGCGGCCTTCGTGGTCGCCGAGGGCGCCGCGGCGCACGATGAGCTGCAGCAGCTCAAAGCTCTGCTTGCGCATGCTCTGGCTCAAGGACGCAATCGGCGTCGGAAGGTTGAGGAGCGTCTCGACCACCTACGCGCGTTATTCGCACCATGCATGCTAGCAAGTGGCGCATACCGTCCATGCGTCGTTGGCAGGAAGCAGCGCGGCGTGGAGCGAGATGAGGGCGACGAGCGCCTTCAAGCACGCGGCCATGCTCGGGCCGTCCTTGAGCCGCTCGAGAAAGAACGTGAGGAGGAGGTGCGCCGTGTCGCTGCTCAAGCGCAGGTCCGGCAGGCGCGTGAGCACCTCGGCGAGGAGCAGCGTGGCCCGCGCCCGGCGCTTGTCTTGGACGTGCGTGAGGTGTGCACCGAGGCCCTGGATGACCTGCTCGATCGGCGTCTTGCGATGCACGCTCATGACGACGTTGTTGAGGTGCGTCGTGTGCTGCTGCTCGCCATTCTCGGGGTCGACAAAGCCATCGATCGCCGGCTGCAACGGCGCGTCCAAGCTAAACATGATGTTGGTTGCCCTCTTTTCTGGCCTGTCCTTTTGGGAATCTTGTTATTTTCGGCAGTGCCACGTTTAAGGTTGGGCCATCGACATGGCTTATTTCGAGATAGCGTCGTTGTGTTGACTTGGCACGCGCAACGTACTATGCCATGTCATGCAGCACACGTTTCTGCATCAAATGAGGTACCATGCAGTGGGCGGGTCCTCGTGCTCGAGGGCGAGGCGCCATTCGCGACTTGCGATATCGCCAACAGGCTAGGTAGAACCGATACGCCTGGCCGCAACACGGGGGTGCGCGGCCGATATTTGCTCCAGAAGACTGCAACGCGCTTGGACGATCCTCGTACGCATGCAAGCGCAGGGTGCGTGGTCCGGATTGCACGCCCACCGCCGGACGAACATGTGCCGAATTTAACCAAGCCTGACGATGCGCCTATTCTTATACCGATTTTGGCCAATCAAATGGACGCATCTGTATCCGGTTCATTGATTGGCTCGCTTCGCAATATGGCCGAATGGTTGGTGCTTGAAAAGGTGTTGGCACCGAGACCGTATCCAAGTCGCAACTCTGTGAATTGCCGCCATCCAATTTACATGGACGTCTTCTCGGAGCTGCGGCGCCATGCCGGCGGGAACCACGCGCCCAAAGTCAAGGTATCATCAGCATTATCATCCTCTTGCAGCATCTCTTCTGACACATGGCCTTTCTGTAGCTCAACATTGTCTTGGCTGCGATCACGGACGTGATCCTCGAGCGTCGTGGCCCGGCCAACGACGCCGAGTCGATCTCCAACACCGAGTACTTTGCCGCGCTCATGACGGCGCTCGAGAGCACAGACGCCACTCACACACACGAGATCCTCCAGCTCCTCAGCATGGTGCTGCCCGAGGTGCACGAAGCCGTGTTGCGCACCAAGTTTGATGCAGTCGCGCACTGCCTGGTCCGCGTCATGAACGACGCGCAATCCAACTCGGACGTGGCCTCGCTCAAGTCGGGCTTGGTGTGCCTCGGCCTCGTCTTGCAGGCGCTCGAGCCGACGCCGAGCGTGTGGAGCCACCCGACGGTGCTCAAGACGTTCCACGTGCTCCTCGCCCTCGCGACAGACCCGCAGCCCAAGATCCGCAAGACGGCGCAGATCTCGATCGTCAAGATCCTCGAAGTCCACGCCGACGCGCACTGCGACGCGCTCTCGACGCACATTGCGAGCTTTGCCGAAAACATCCTCGCGTCCGCCGTCGCCAAGGACCAGACCAAGGTGCTCCAGCTCGTCGGCTTCCTCGCGAGCGCGCTCCCGCTCTTGCCGGCCAAGGTCGTGACGAGCCTCACCGAGGCGCTCTTCAAGCTGCTTGGCGCGAACCAGAAGACGCTGTCGTTGGTCACGCTGCAGGCGCTCGACGCACTCGTGTCGGCGCCGCAGTCCCAGGTGTCGGCGGCGTGCCTCTACGGCACGCTCAACACGGTGCTCCAGATGGACGCCAACGTGCACGACAAGGACGTGGCCATCTGCCTCATCCACATCACGTGCCGGTCGCTCGCGCGTCTCCAGCCGCTCCACGCGGCGCATGCGCAGGAGCTCCTCCCGCGTGTCGTCGTTGCCATGTGCACGTACTTTGAATCTCAGCACGTCCAAGTCCACCGCAAGACGGCCGAGTGCCTCAACGTCGCGCTCCAAGCGACGCTCAACTTGTCGTCGGCCGCGCCGCGCGTGCTCTTCTCGCTCGAGAGCCTCCTCAACTTGCGCTACCAGCACGCATGGTCGTCGATCTTTGTCTTGCTCTCGTCGCTCGTGTCCTTCTTTGGCGAAGCCGCGAGTCCGAGCTTTGACGGTGTCTTCAAGACGACGGTTGAGCTCTACGAGGCCATGGATGCGATGCCGCAAGCCTCCGACGAGATGCGCAAGGCGTTCACCCGCTTCATGGTTGCTTCGACGATCGCTCTCGGTGCCGAGCGCATGGTGGCGGTCGTGCCGCTCCAGAACGGTGCCGGCATCGTCGAAGAGCGTACGTGGCTGATCCCGGTCGTCCGTGACGCGGTCAAGCAGATCCCGTCGCGCCTCGAGTTTTTCGCGACGCACATTTTGAACCTGGCCAAGAACTGCGAGGCGGTCGCGCGCGCGGACTCGACGACGCCGCTCGAGTCGAAGCGCATGCAAGCTCGCACGATGCAGCTCTGGAGCCTCTTCCCCAGCTTTTGCACCAAGCCGACCGATTTGAGCGCGAGCTTCAAGAAGATCGCCAAGACGCTCGCGAATGCCATGTCGGACAAGCGGTACCCGGAGCTCCAGCTGCTCGTGTGCCAGGGTCTCCAGGCGCTCATCAAGGCCGCCAACCGCGACGATGTGGCTACCTCGGCGGCCGACCAGATGGCGCTCTCCAAGTTTGCCGCTCGCTTCATCCCGCTCCTCATCACGATCGTCGAGGGGTTGGATGTTGAAGTCGAGTCGGAGCGTCTTCCTACGTACGTTAGCCACGCTTTCAACCTCATCGGATGTTGACGCTATGCCTTTAGGTTGACTGACACGATCGGTGGCTACGCCAAGCTCGCCGAGCCGGCCTTTATTCAAAGCGTCTTCAAGCAGCTCATGCAAACGCTGCTGGAGACGACGACGCAGTACAAGCGCAGCGACCCGAAGGCACCCGCGACGCTCGGCCTCCAAGCCCAAGCGCACTTCCACATGAGCATTGCGATGGCGTTGATCCCGATCATTGACGGCAGCCAGGTCGAGCTCCTCTACCGCGTCGTCAAGCCGTACCTTCTCGACGATACCGACCCGATCATGCAGAAGCGGTCGTACTCGGTGCTCGTCCAGCTCTGCGAACACCACCCGGCGTTTGCGACGTCGCCCGACAAGCTCACCGACATGATCGAGTCGCTCTCCGAGTCGCTCCTCACGTGCTCGGTGCCGGCCAAGAAGATGCGCCTCCGCGCGCTCAACCAGATCGTCTCAGCCATGGAGCGCACGCAGCACGACGACATTAGCTTCATCCCGGGCCTCGTCGGCGAGATCATGCTCTGCACGAAGGAGGCGAACGCGAAGGCGCGCGAAGCAGCCTTCGAGCTCCTCCTCGCCATGGCGCGCCTCGTCGAGTCCAAGCACAGCCAGCCCGGCGCGGGGCTCATGGACTTTCTCCAGATGGTACTCGGCGGTCTCGCGGCCCGCACCCCGCACATGCGGTCGGCGTCCGTCCTCTGCATGTCGCGCCTCGTCTTTGAGTTTGGCCGCACGGAAGACGCGATCCGGAGCGCGATGCCCGACCTCATGCGCACGGTGCTCATGCTCCTCCACGAGAAGGCGCGCGAGGTCATCAAGTCGGTCATTGGCTTTATGAAGCTTGGCATTGCGATCCTCTCCAAGGACGCACTTGTTGAGTTTTTACCGTCGATCATTGAGGGCCTTCTCAAGTGGATTGGTGAGGCCAAGCAGCGCTTCCGCGCCAAGACGCGCACGATCATGATGAAGCTCTGCCGCAAGTACGGCTACGAGTACATTGCGTCGCTCGTCCCGGACGGCGACAAGAAGCTTATCACGCACATCCGCAAGACCAAGGAGCGCGAGGACCGCCAGAAGGACAAGAAGCACGAGAGCCATAGCGGTAGCAAGGCGCAGTCGTTTGAAGAGTTTATGCAAGACTCGGACGACGACGACAGCGACCGCGAAGACGTCAAGCCGACCAAGTCGTCGGCCAAGTCGTCCGCTGCCAACAACATGAAGGTCGGCAAGAGCTACATCAAGGAGAACGCGGAAGACGAGATCGTCGACTTTCTCGACAACTCGGCCTTCAAGAACATTGTCAACTCGCGCAAGACGAAGAAGGCCGATCGCGACGACGAAGACTTTGAGTTTTCGAAAGATGGTCGCTTGATCATTCCCGGGGAGCCCGATGCGGACGACGACGTGGCCATGGAGTCGGACGACGAAGATGTCGTCCGTCGCGACGTGCAGAAGCAACTCGAGCAGATGGGCTTGAGCAAGAAGCGCAAGATCGAAGCGGTCGCGGGCCAAGAGTACAAGGCCAAGAAGGCGGGCGGTGACATCAAGAAGAAGGGCAAGCTCGAGCCATATGCGTTCATTCCGCTCGACCCGAAGCTCATGGCGAAGCGCAACAAGCGCACGGCCGTCAACCGGTTCGAAAAGGTCGGCAAGCAAAAGCACAAGAAGTAGATTCTTGCACCTCGTATGTTTTGAATGATTATTTGAAGAAAAACAAGTTCACTTGACCCGTGAATTCCAGTCCAGCGTTGATGGACAAGTTGTCTGCATGTCGTCGACGCATGCCTTGAGCTCCACTAAGAGCGACAGGGTGTCCCATTATACCTACCACGTAGCGAAACGTTCTCTGTGTTGCTACAAAGACTTGGCCTACGTCACGACGAGCTTCTTCAATCGCTTGCAGGGCTGAGTGGCTTGCTCGTCTGTCATCGCTTCCGGCCGCGTGTGAGACCCATAACGACACGCTCGTAATTATGTCCGTCCATAGGTTGCGATCGGCGGCCAAGCGATGCAGTTTGTTGAGGTCCTGAGAGACGCCCGCGACGGAGGCGACAGTGACTTCTGTCAGAGGCAACCCGAGCGGCCTTGTCCACGCTGCGTATCACCGGTGCTGCTGCCACGCTTTGTTGCTTTCTGCATAAGCCTCGAAAAGTGCTCCATGTGTGTCCGACGTCGGTACTTGATACATAAACGATCAGCCAATTCTGGACTAGGATGATACGAGGACGACTAGATCGAGTGGTCGAGGATCGTGAGAAGAAGCGCGCGGTAGTCGCCGCTCGTCTCGCCTTCGATGCGCTGGCGGAGCGGCTTGCCGTACTTGGCCTGGTACGCTTGCTTGACCTGGGAGAGGAGGTGCTGGTAGCGCACGATGGCGGCCGAGAGACCATACTCGTCCGTGCCAATGCCGCTCATCGTGCTCTCGATCTGCTCGACGATGGTCTCGATCGGGTGCAAGATGATGTTGACGTGGTACACGAGCCCGTCTTCGGCCTTGCCGCCAAACTCCTTTTGGATCGCGTGCACAAGCCCATGCGAGTGCTTGGCCGCATACGCCGCGTCGACGGCCGCGAGGAACTGGGGCGGGATCGAACAGATCGCGTTGGAGAAGGCCGACTCGTCCGTGCCCCACTTGCCCTCGCCGGCCTTGAAGATGGTCTCGGCGATCTCGGCCGCCTTGGCCGGCGTGTGGATGCTCGGGTTGTACGCCTGGGACATTTGGTTGAGCGCCGCGAGGTAGAACGTCTTGAGGTCGCCGCTCACGTCGTCGTTGATCGCGACGACGAGGTCCGTCTGATAGAGCTTGAAGAACGCCTTCTTGAGGATGTTGAGCTCGATGTTGGAGCGGCCGCTCAGGACCGGAATCAAAAGCTTCTCGGTGGTGCCCGCACCCTTGGTCGCGTCGCGGAGGATCATGGCCTCGGCCTCTTCAATCGGCTGCGCAAGGAGCTGCAGCAGCTTGCCGTAGTTGCCCGATGTCTCGGACGCCATCTCGGAGAGCAGCGACTTGTTGTAGAGCTCTGGGTACCGAAGGTGGACGAGGCAGCGCTCGACGGGCGACTTGTTGCCGAGGACCGTGCTGAGCTTGGCTTCGTTCGTGCCGGCGCCGGCACACGCGGCCTGGATCTCCTTGCACGCACGGTCAATGGCTGGGTTGGCGTGGCCGATCGCGCGGCCAGCGTCGACCTCGTACGTTTGCTGCGGGTAAATGTTCATCACTGCGGTGGGTTGGTGGCTTCTTGAGGAATGAGTTGGTCGTCATGGGCGGCGTGAGGGGCGAGACCGCGAGGTGAGTTCAGCAGCCGTTGCCGACTACAGTGGCCACGTAGCAGCATGCAGAGAACGCACGCCTTCGAAAGGCGCAAGAGCGTGTGATTCAGAGCCCTTTGTAAAAAAGGGATACCGCCCCAATACGGGGCATCGTGGTACAATAAGATGCACACTAAGATGCCAACTAAAGTGCAAACTAAGATGCCAGCTAAAGTGCAAACTAAGATGCCAACGAAAGTGCAAACCAAAGTGCAAACTAAAGTGCCAACTAGAGTGCAAGGTGCTATGTAGTGCTTGGCTTCTTGGTTTAAATGTGTTTGATCGACAGTATATACGATTGCGTGCTTGTGGCTGGAGGTGGCTTGGGTGTGATGCGTGCTTCTACCGAGATTGGGGCGGCGGTGAGCCGAAACTCTAGACCAATGGAACCACGCGCTTGATAAACGGGCGAGATTCACCGAGAGCACGCACGCGTATCTTCCATTTTGCGTTGCGCTCGTCGTCGCCTGCGTGGTGGAGGAGGATGGGCCACTACCTTGAAGACGGACTCGATCGCATTACCGCCGTGTATACAAACACGCATTGAAATTAAATCTGCTCTCTCTACTTGATGACGACCGTCGTGTCCTTGAGCACCTTGATGTTGTACACAAGGCTCTTGACGTCGGCGAGCTGGTCGTCGAGAAGGTGAATGTGGCAGTTGCCGTCTTGGACCACCATGCACATTTCTTTGCCTGGTCCCGTTTCCCCGGCCGCAGTCGTGCCTTGCGTCGTGGGTTGGAACTTGGCTTTGACGCGCAATTCCTTCTCGGGCAACCCGAATGTAAACATGTGCGTCATGAAAAACCACTGCAGCGTGCTCAGTCGTCGCGCCTTGCAGATGATGATGGCTGCCCGATGTTTCTTGTCTTCGCGGACGTCGGAAATATAGTCGCATAAGATCGACGTGCTGTTAAAGAGCGCTTGACGGCCGAGGCTATTGCGCGCCATGAGGTTCCAGAATGACCGGTTGAGCACTTGGTCCAGAAGCGTGATCAAAAAGATGTTGATGAGAAGGCCCATGCCCACGGCGTAGCTGACGCGAAAGTAAAAGCTGTTGTAGTAGTTGACGGGCGTTCCGTCGAGGCTCTCAACCGTATTGTACAAATCTTGGCGAACGCTGTTGTTGTACTCGACATAGTCGGGAATGTAAAAGAGCAAGATCGCGCTCAGATACAGCGACGTGACGCTCGTCAAGTTGAAGTAGCCCATGAGTCGGCTCTCGCCGCAGTACGTGGCGGTGCTTACGATGCTCGATGCGATTTTGCACACTTTTAGAATGCCACAGTTGAGCCAGAGCAATCTCAAACTCAACGCGAAGAGGCGGACACTCATGTAGAATTGAGGACTCGCAGCGTTGTACACGGTCACTTCGCGCGTAAACATGAGGGCGTTGTTGAGATCGAGGAGCACCGAGACGCAGTAGAGCGTCACAAACAAGTCCGAGTTGTAGCAAAACATATCAAAGCGCAGCGCGTGGCTCCGATGGGGAAAGCACTTGGGCATAATCGTGTACACAACCCGCGTCCAGATCGTATCCGGTTTCGTCGGGTCGACCTCGAGCCACTGGACAGTCCGGCGGCTCGCCAGAAACCCACAAACGGCAAAGAAGAGCGCAATGAACTTGATCCAATGCGACGCAGAGCTAAAGGCGTCCTGCTGAATGAGCAAGCCGAGGCGGTACGAGGACCCCGGGATCGGTCGCGCGACCACGTGTAGCGTCTTGTTGGCATCCGTATACGTCATGCTAAAATTGCAGCTGCCATATCCGAGCTCGGTGATTGGAATGCACCCGGTGCAGTAGCCCTTGGTGTAAAGGCGCCAGAACGGCACTTCTTTGACTTGAACGGACGAGGTATTTTGCAGCACAATTGCGCGCGTGAGCCGAAGATCTGTCGCGATGCGCGCGGCTGCGTACCCGAGGTGCCGGAGCATGCCGCTGCCCATGGAGCTGTTGCCAAGATTCGCACTTGCCTCGTGGGTTGTCGCGATCGTGATCGCATTGCCGCGCAAGAACGTAATGAGATCGTACGTGATGCCGAGCTTGATCGCATTGTTGGTGCGAGCGAGATCGATGGGATACGTGCCCGAGAAGCGGCGGCAGAGGTCGGTGGAACTGTCCAGAGCATACGTATCGGCCGAGAGAACATAGACGTTGGAGCCGAGACGACCGAGGTTGGCGACCGTGTAGTTGGCCATCCACATCCCGACGCTCGACAGACTTTGGAGGTCCCGCCCGGGCAGAAATGTATAGGAGTTGACGAGGTCGGGGGCGGCCTCAATGTTGGCGACCGGCGTGATGAATTCGTTGCCGTTGCCAACGAAGTTGATGACGGCCCAGTTGTTGGAGATGGCGTCGACGGCCACGAGAAGGATCACGGCAAGCCCGATGACGTAAGCCAATACCACGAGGCACTGGTTGAGCTTGTCGCGCAGCGCGTAGGCATCAGCGATAGCCGACAACCCGCTCAAGAGCGACGCCGGCTTTTCTTTGACGACGGCGACGGCGTCACCCGGCGCAGGCGTGTGCATGCTGCTATTTGTAGCTTGTGCTGGTTGAGAAACGGATCCGCTAGCCTCCGCGAGGTGCCTAGAACGCCCTCATCATGTCAATCTTGGACGCTAACCTAGTATGTAATTGAGGATATATCAAACATTTGAGTGTGCAATCCGAGATAAGCACAAGGTGAAAATGACACCGGACGGTCGTAAGAAAGTGAGTGCAACAACAGGGCGGACAGGATTTCGTTGTGAATGCTTTGGCATATTTTTGTGGTTCGGCTTGCATTTTGGCCAATGAATAAGCTCAAAATCATTGTAGCCAATGGAAGCGCTTCGTTTCAAGAACACAGCACCCGCACTGGCCAGATTTGAAGCCAATCATAATTGCTGGCGCCGCAATCACAAGCCGAATAGTACTGAGGGGGCTCATCTTTGATGCAGCAAAGCGAGTACTAGTATACGCCATGTCGTCGCAAACTACTTGGCGAATGGTGCGCAGTTGACGGCTTGCAGGGCGACTTGCAAGCTCTCGAGATGTATCCAGTGCAATGGATTACCAGCATTCATGTCTGCCAAGCCTTGCGGACACGAACGCAAGGTGCTATACTAGCCAAAGCACATATATATATATATATATGAACGTGTTTCGCGTTATCTTCCTTACAAAGAGTTCGCATACGTAGAGACTAGCAATCTCCTTCTTCTTCATTCACTCACCGGGCCGTGGCTGCGCAGGCGGCGGCGCGGGGGTGCATCTTGTTCTTCTGTAGTCGCGCGGGGACGCTTGTCGCCGCGGGTGAGGCCCATGATGACAAGCTCCGTGGATTCCTTCATGGCGTCGCGATCGGCGGCAAAGCTACGCAGTTTGTTGAGGTCCTCGAGAGACGCCAGCGACTGAGGCGGCGTCAACGACTGGAGGTCGCGGTGCAGGACGATCGGCAACGTGATCGGGGCGCCTCGGGAGCGGCAAAGAAGCGGGCGGCGGCAATGTTGGCAGGGACGTCTTTCTCCAGGCGCAGCACGTGGCCCAGCAGGCGCCAGCGTTGGCGGGCGACGATCTCACTCAGCGGCACACTCTTGCAGCGCTTGTAGAGCGCGACGTCGCCGAGCGTGTTCGGGTAAAAGATGCCTAGAAGACGACGCAGCTGCCGGCGATGGAAGCTGTCAAGGCCCGCCAG